ATGCTCTCTCGCTCTCCTTCTTATTTTATCCTTAAATTACATTTAAACTTTAATGACTGCATCACTGGCAGGGAAAATACATTTCATTTCATTACTGTATATATTACTTCTACACTCTGTCATGTCTATCATTGGCATTTTTAGAACAAATATGCAAATTTAATTGGAAGGATGAGCAGCCTTGGCTCTTCTTGGTCAAACAGGTCTTGGTGTGATTACTGTGCTCAGAGATGCATGGCTTAATGGTAATATCACTGCGAGACACGTAGATGTGTCTAGGACCCTTAAAGAGCTCTGAACCTATAAATCTCCTGATTGTTGTTGGTTATTGAAGTGGAGGAAGATGCTCATCAGCCTGATTTGATCATGTTGTGGATACTGTTCTATTTCAGCAACCTGGTAAAGCGGATGCTATAGATGGAGAGATGAGAGGATGCATGAGATGGCATTGGTGAAGTTCACTTTAGGTGGATGTGAGAGCTGACAAAGTGGGAAAGACTAATGATTCGCAATGTCTTTGTTTAGACCACAGGCTGTTAAACTAACACTCTTTTAGCAGCCATAACACTCAGTCCACTATGTGCCTCCAAAATGCCTCAACAATGTGTTAAAAGTGTGCTAAAACTGGCACATGGATGTGAAAAACTGCTATGTTAGGTTCGCTTGAAAAAAGTCAGAGGAAAACAGATCTAAACAGAGCCAACACTGCTAACCAACAGCCCCGTGGGTTTCACAGTGGACTGCGTGGTCTGTGTTGGATACTATTCTGGGTGCAAGCAACAGCAAGACCTGAAGTCAACTACTGAGTAACCAAACATGATCATTCAACACAGCAGGTGACTGAGCAATGTGATCAGTGACATGCGCTAGCACATAGGGGGAAGAAAACAAACCTGAATTACTAAGCTGAACATGGAGAGTTGTTTTGTGCTTTCAACTACCTACATGAATAACAAAACTAATGGGTGGAAACTGTTCATTTTCCCAAGAAGGAAACCCCTTGGTTAGCTCAGAGTGCAGAATTAGTGATAAGCTCCAGTGATCTGGTCAGAACCCTGATTTAATAAAGCACTGGATGTTTCTGCACTGAAACTGCAGGAAGAAATTCCTGTTTTAAGGTAAGACAGCTCACGCTGTTACTGTGTTTAAGGCTGTCAAGTGGAGAGTACAAACGTTTCACAGACTTTGTGATCAAAACACTGGTGATCAGTTTGACATGTTTCCGAGTTTCAGTGTGTGACTTCATCATAGCTGATAGAGGTGCAGACTGATGACTTTGGTTGAAAAATCGATCACATTATTACACTTTTAATATTGTGCAATTTTGTGTTGAGATTTATGAGTTTATGTTGAAATGTGACTGATCAATAATACTTAATTAAATCCTGTATTGTACTATAATTTATTATGAGTGAAGCTTTGTCCATATACATGTAGCCATCTCTAATATGACTATACTGTTATATCCTGTTTTGTTTTGAACAAACTGCAGGATTTGGATACATGCTAATGTCACAAATACAATAATAACCAAAGTGAGTGTGTCTGTGCTCTTAACTTGTGCAGCAGTCAAACTGCAGGAAATGTCCTGCTAATTTCATGTAGCCAGTTAGCGTTATAATTGCTACCTGCAGTTTCTACAATAAGTGTCATGTTAGTTCAAGCCAGAGCTGACAGATGACAAACTAAACATTTTGGAAATGCAAGGATCAGTGTCACATACAAATTCACCTTTAAAGATTCATTGTGACATTGTACCAATGAGTTTACAACCCCCCTCATCCAGTCTTGATTATAAATGGGAAATGCTCGATAGAGCATAATACACATACGAAGCAAGGACAGGTGAACTCTCAACATACAAAAACCTGTTTTTTAAACCTGGCTAATGGAAAAATAACTGTCTTACTCTGATCACTAAATTAATTGAGTTTGCAAATGCCAGATCTCTGTTAACCATTAGGAGTGACTCAAATATACAACTTCATATTAAAATAGTTAATAATTAATAATAACTTCTCATTTGCAACATTTAGGATTGAGACCCTGAAAGGAAGACCTCTATAAAGCCTAAAGCCTCTAGGGTAAGGCAGAGAGATCTATTATTTTAACGTTTCACAGGATTTATTCACTACATTCAGGTTCCTTGTTTTGCAGTTGGGAGTCCAACTTGTACTCAACAGTTTTTTTCCACTTCCTGCTAATGTGTGACTTTGTGCTCCACTGGTTTCAGTCAGTGACCCAAACTCAAGTAAAGAAAATTAGTTTTGTAGGTCCTCAGCATCTCCCACATGAACTGCAATAATTCCACTACTTTTGAAATGTTCTCCTACAATCTCCTCTGTGTCTTTCAACCACTGGGCAAGAGGGAGGTCTTGCCCTTCAGGTTCTAAAATTATTGCTAGGTCAAAATATAATTTATGGCTGTTACAATGATAAAGACCATTTTCTCTTCTTGTGAAATAACTTGCACGTTTGTTGTATTAATTATTGAAGCAACTTTAACCACTGAAGGAGAAAAATGAGGTCAGTCATGGGGGTGTTGGCTGTACTCAGTGTTGGGCTATAGAGGTTATCTTTTTGTTGTTAATATAACCATTCAATGCAGAAAATTGCTCTGTTTTTATATGCAAGGCACAGATAAAACACAAAATTGGTTAGTAGGGCCATTCCCATTGGGCTGACTGGGAGCACCTGGGCCCAATGTTCCCAGTCACAATAAAAGCTGCACTTTAGTCTGTGTGCTTTGTTAAGGCCTGCTATTTTTCATCACTAAGTGCACATATTTCCCACTCATCCAGTCACTGACATATTTATACAATTTATTTTATATTTTTGTAAATAAATGTGTTAATTTAGGTGCATTATTGGTGTCTCTCTCTTTATTTGCCATGGGCCTTTGAGTCAGTTATGACAAAACAAATTTGCCCTTTGGATCTTACTGCTACAGGCAAAGATGAGTAAAATTGTAAAAATTCAGAAGTAAAATATGTTGGTTTTTTTTAACAATAACCAATTCTGTAATTCTCTGGAATGTATTTTGGGGGGGCTTTTATTGCCTTCATTCAATAGTACAGCTGAAGAGAGAACGGAAAGGGGGACAGAGGGTGGCACGCAGCAAAGGGCTGCAGGTCAGATCCAAACCTTGGACCGCTGCAGCATGGACTCAGCCCTGGTACATGGGGCGCCAGATCCACCAGGTGAGCCATCCAGGCGCCCCAAGTTTGTCATGTTTACAGGAAGAGATGGTGTTAAGTTCAAACTTTTCCCAGCTCATGGATCCTTACTATACGTGATCTTGCATTTAGTGTCTACACCTCATTTTCACAACCAAAGAATGCAAAGGCATGGAGATGAATAAAAACCTGGAGGTTAAGAGGCTGGTAAATATGTATAAGATGGCACCTTGGCACATGGGAAAAAATGTGGAATCCCAAAGACAGATTGAAAACCAACAGCTGTCACAGGTACAGAGGTTGTTAAATGATCAACCTAAATCTAGCACACACCTAAAACTCAAACTTTAAAAGATGTTTTTCTGCATTCACCAACTTTAATTTTCTGCACACAGCTAAAGAAAATCTTTCAAGTATCGGCTTGGCATTTTATAATCAAATATTCTCTTTAGTATCCACAGTTGTTCCTCTGAACCAACTGCCAACAGTTTTTTTTATTTGGGGATGAAGTGCACAGATGTTGACATGGAGCTTTCAGAGTGGGGTATTAACATATTAAATACAACGCTACAGACTCAGAACTGCAAATGTATAAGCATTGTTGCACATTTCAGTCTCAGTATTTTTGTGTGTTTTTATAGCATTGTCTTTTATTTTTTCACTGTCAAAATAATTCATGAGGGTGTCATGTAAACTTTTAAATACCATAAAATATTCACAACAGATTGTTAACAAGAATTTTTAATTTTTAAGTCCTGTATATGTGAATGGTTAGGTTTTCATTTTCAGTGAATACTTTTTTAACTCGTGATAATCTTAATGTTAGGGTGCATGGCTAATTTTCTGTAGCAATGTAGCATTGTGCAAACAACAGACAACAATTAACAAAAGTGAGATGAAACCAAAGTCCCATGAAAGAGAGACCAAAGTCAAACTCTCTGTGTAAGTTCCTTTAATGGGCAGAAATCCAATATGAAAGCAGCGAGGCCAAGTCTGATTAAATCTCAACTAAACAAAGTAAAGACAGCTCAAGATCCTTCATTAATATAATCTCACCAAGAGATATCTCAGCTCTCTGAGATATTTGGCTCTGAGCGACAGAGGAAACATCCATTAGCAGAAGGGGGATTCAACAGAAGGCTCCTCCAGGTCATTTAAATTTTCAGACTGGTGTATTCAAAACATTTTACTAATTTAATTAATTGAATCAAACATGAATTAAGTGTATTAATGTATGTGTAGCCTACAAGTATGAACTGACCATCAAACTTGTTTCAACAAGTACTTCTCTTGTTCACCAAAATTTTAAATGTAATGCAAACTAACTTTACAAAGCAAAAGAAAACAAACTAAATATGTTATAATGTACTGTCAGGTATCAGGAATAAAGCTTATGTCTGTCAGTCAGATAAAAAAAATGCTAATGTGTATTGTGTTACATGCAGTATCAAAATCTGTGACCATCAGAGTGTACAGGGTACAAGCCTGCTCTATCATCACTGATCCACTCAGTGGCCAGTTTGTCTAATGTGTGTGATCTGTCAGGCAGTTAGGACACAATGCATTTTTTTTATCGAGCAGGGTCTCATTATAGTCAAAAAGCTGTTTACACAAGGCTGAAGCAAGGCCTCATAATTGAGGATAAGGCTCCATAAATCTTAGATATTGACATTTTCAGCACTGAAATCCAAGAGGGTATTCTTACTGTTAGACGACTGAAGATGGAAGGAAGGACCACAACGGTGCGTGGCCAGGGGTAACTTGTTTTCTGTTAATTATGTTGTGATTTTAAATTGTCTGTTGTTTCTGTTCTGTGGTTCACAGAAGTGTGTCACAGTCCGCTGGTATCCAATCTACTGCCATCGTCCTTCAGAAGCTCCTCCCAGTTGTCTGGCAGCCATGGGCCAGGCTTTGCCAAGCTGAACCGGAGAGAAGGTGAGTCTGTAATGCTTTTTGGTTAAAGGTCCCCTCTAGACATATATTAATATATATGTCTCCCTGTAATAATATTGTGTGTCGGATGTGTTCCACAAAAAAGTATAATTTCCACATTAAAATCCTTAATTTACTTCTTCTACCTCATTAAAAATGACAGAATCTATGAATATGCAATTTTTTCATTTCTAAAGTTTTCCTGCAGGACACAAGATCTCATTCAGTCCATTCTCAGTGGATGTGCACTGGTGGCTTCGAGTTTCTACATCACACTTGTAGAAGTTGCATACTGGACCAGGGTTCACTTTCAAACTATTTGTCTATATGTCAAAAATCATTCTTGTAGGCCCCGTCCCTTAAAATGAGATTGTCAATGAGCACAGAGAAACTTTCCACCTTCAGTGGATGAAGTGAAAACATCCTTCTAGAGTCAAACTCTGCACATAAATCATTCACAGTGAAGATCATCTGGAAATAGCCGGGATAAGAAGGAGGTGGGTCAATTTACGACGAATATACATCCCTTTCCACATAGAAAGAAATGAACTTTGGACGGCATTGTTACCTGATACTTTTATTACTGGGCCAACACAGTTAGATCTAGGGGTGCCCCTAACTAAAGATTCTCCTAGTCGACTAGTAGTCGTTAAATAAATAGTCAACATTAATGTAATTATTTAAATATGTAGATTTTAACAGCCACTTGTTGAACGTTAACAGAAAAAGTTTATTTCAACACAATCATCACACAAGTCTCATTCAAAACACGGAATAAATAACTTCCAACTTCACAAAAACAAATACTGGAGGACTTATCAATATGATGGAGGATGTATTATGTTATTAGTTACTTACAAATTAACTCACTACAAACCTGCTCCTCTTCATCCGTTTGATGCCTCTCCTGTCACTGTCTGAACCCGCTGTGTTTTCCCCACAGACTCATAATCCTGTTCATAGCTGCTGTAAATCAGCTCGCCTCTGTTTGTCTGCTCCTCTCTGGTTCTGTCACTCATTCTGGCACCGCTCCTTAGCAGTATTCCCTGCTGGGTACCCCACTCCTACGCTAATAACTCCCCCTGTCCCAATAGGAGCACTAACTAGCAAGTGGCAGCAGCTAGTACAGTTAGCGTATGCAACAGTGTCTACTGTCAATGAACCCTTGAGTGTTTTATTTCTGCAGCCCATGGTAAACCATAAATGGTAACCTGATTGCAGTAGATGGTTTTTTACCATCAAAACCATCTGGGAAGTCGCTGTAACAGCACATTATGTAATAACACGGTATTATGTACATAATGTGTTATTACCATTTATTACCATTTATCACACGCAAACTTCAAACAATCAGATCAACAAACCATATATAAAAATGTTTCCATTGAGAAAAACCTTCAGTACAGTTCTTTGCTTCTTTCAATGAAAAATATTATCAGCATCTACGAAAACATCTTTAGAAGCTGCCATTGTAGTTTTCGAGCAGTCGCTTATCACACGCGTCGTCACGCACATCCAGCGTTAAACCACATCACAGCTTATGCCATAGCTGCCAGTAGTCCCTCAAAGGACACTAACTGGTCTAAACCTCAGTGGTTTGGACACGAGTGCGTAGCTTGAGATGGATTTGCACGTTTAGAAATTGTCATTTTTTTCCAGCTTGACCTTTTTGAGTCAAGCTGGACATGTGCATCCAAAGCTACTACAGCCTTCCATTAGACTCTTCACTAGTGCAGTTTGGAGTTGTGCACATGCACTGCCCTCACACACACCTCTGAGGTAGCTTCAACCAGATCTTTACATTTTTAAACCGAGGATGATGACATCGCAAACTGTGTTAAAAGAGAATATACTGAAGGTAAGGTGTCCTAAAGTAAAGTAAGTGTGACATTATCATATTTGAATGTCCATCAAGGGACAGGATGTTACTGTTACAGGCCTGTGACATGTCAGCTAGGCCAGTGTAATCTTTCATTGATCCCATCTCTTCCTCAGCCATACTCCCCTGTATTCACATATAAAATTTATCAGTTTAACATCAATAACTTATCGCTTCGTTCTTGTCTTCTTGCATTTTTTATTTTTTTTTACCCCAGTGTTTTAGTCAGTTGTGCAGATAAAATAAACTGTAAAAGGAGGCTCCCATCCTGTTTCTGTTCCGATGTGTTGCAGCAGCCCTGCTCATCTCCTGATTCACTTCCCTGCTGGACACAACATCAAAGAAAGTCTCAGTTGGATTCACACCTCCGGGTGAATGACAAACATACATACAGATACAGTGGTTACTGTCTCCTTTCTCTTGTGTTTTAGGTACATTAGTTGCAGGTGATATGTGCATCACACACTTTGCAAAAGGTTGACTTGTCACCAAAAGAATTGACAGGAAAGTTCAAATAAAAACGTAGGCCTATGTGATTATACTTAGGCACCTTAGACTTGGCTGGTACCAGAGACAAGAATTGAATGGAAGGGCTGTGATGTCTTTGTCGTCGGCACAACAGAGGATCTGAATGATTTTCACCACCTGGGAGACTGCAGGAAGTACATCCTGCAGGTTGCTGTTTCCTTGGTGTGTTTGATGGCAAAAGCTGTGAGCAAACACACCTGCTGTGTTCCTTCACTTCAGTAAACCCGCTCTGTCTGTTTACTAATCTGAGTTTGATCTGCGTTAAGGAGGATTAGATACTTCTAAAGGATGATCTGACGCATCTGAATGGCAAAACATAACTTATTTATCTGCACAGGAGCTGAAAAATAGCGATGCTAAAAGAGATGAAGAAGAAATGAAAATAGAACTGACAGAAAGGACAGTAAAGATCTGTTCTGTTTTTTTCTACATTTTTTTATGGCAAATAAAATAAAGATGCTGGTAAATGAAAAAAACATGAAATACTTGAGCATCAATTTAACATTATTTAATCATGCCACTGTGTACATGCAGTCTCTTGAGGATGCATCTGATTGGTGCTATAGATGGTAAATGTGCTATGAAGCCAGTGAAACCACCAACCTTTCGGAGATGTCATGGGCTTTGAGAGCAACTACAGAGCTTTGAGTGTTACTCAGTACAATATCTTGCAATCTCTTTCTTATTGGTGAGGGTTTAGCTCATTAGCTCTTGTAATTCCTTGTCAATGAGTTCTTGCTAACAATAACAACTCGCAGGTTACAATGCCTTATTCATTCTCAGCCTGAGATTTGAATTGAATTAGATTTCAGTACTCAAATTAGATTGATCAATAAGTCTAATTCAGTTTCGAAAGCAACACCTCAGATGCGAAAATAAAAACTGCCTTAATGCAACTGTTCACCGTAGAAATCACTTTATAGATTAAAAACTCCTGCTCGTTTTCATCTCCTCCTGCGGCTGCTAGCGCTCCTCATCCTCTATAGTCATTCTCTGAGGGGCCGCCTCATTTGAAGTTAATTTACCAGCAAAATGAGCAGAGACTCTTAGATGCACCACACAGCTCTGTTTAAGAGGAACACTGAGCTATTTTTGCTTCCTCCAAACACTCTGTTGTACTCTTGTTTCACTATTAACCTGTGCATTAACCCATGAAAGAGCATTGTTCAAACTGTACTCAAATTTCACTGGTCCTTGATTAATCACTGATTATTCATTAAAAGCTCATGAAATACAAGATGCATGTTTTTTTTCCATTGTGAAAGCAGTATTTAAACAATTGATGGGCTATTTTTACAGCATTACAAGTAAATCATTTGAATCATAAATTCCCCAACGTATTGATTTTTAAAGAGGCTGTGGCACAGATCTCAGCCCAGGATACTGAGAGTTGGCTGACAGCAACTCATAATCTGCACCAGTCTTGTTTGTCTTGTTTTACCACAAAAACCTATACAGTGTAATTTGAGAACAAAATTATATAATTGTGCCCTTGACAGCTGTCATTCAATACATGGCCAAACAACGTTCAAATTCTTGTAGTTCGGTGCAAACTACAGGCTTTTCAGAAGACATTAGTTATTATTATGAATTATTAATTAATTAAACATGGACTACAAATGCCTATGAAGTAAATAACAGAGGTGGGACCAAGTCACAAGTAAGCCTCAAGTCTTTGCACTCAAGTCCCAAGTCCTGAACTTCGAGTTTCAAGTCCTAAACAAGACGTAATGCACTCTAAACCAAATTCAATGCCATTGTAACAACAGAGTGATATTTTATTAAATTTGTATGTGCGACTGAACTTAATTATAAAAGAAAGTAGTGCTGGCATAGCACTATTAACCAGTACCACAATGGAGTGAATTTTGGATGTTTCTCATACTGTAACAATGTCAACAATGACATTTTCTGTATTGTATGTTGTTATGTCTACATGAAATAAAAAGATACATGTAGAAAAACAAAACAATGGATAGGTTATAGAATGAAGTTACTCACTTACTTAATCAATATGAATTGATTCATGGCACTTTTAGATAACATAGCCTGCTTTATAATCATTGTGCTTGAGGGAAGGTCTCAAGTATTTTCAAGTCAGAAGGCTCAAGTCCAAATTATTAGTATTAAACCTAAAGTTGAGTTGAAGGTCTTTTTTTGTTTTGTCAAGTCAAGTCTAAAGAGAAAGTAAAATTAACTGTTCACAAAAGGATATTTCTTAAGAACTAGTATAAAATATAATTTAAATGGTGTTATACACAGGGAATCCAGCTCCATTTATTTTCCCTGTACAGTTTATACTGTGATACTACAAGGCTCTGTCTGCCTTTTGTCATCCCTCCTCACTGTTTCAATCTGTCTCTCTTCCTGTCTGTCTGTCAGAATAATAATGCATTATTTATTGCCAAAGGGACATTTTGTTAGTCATCTGTTGCTTGTGGCGAAGCTGTCAGCTTGACCATGATACTTATGGCTTTGTCTGTCTCTCCTGCAACAGTTCATATCCAGACATTGTATCCAAGACATCTGAACTACCAGTTTCTAACTGTTCAAAATGTTATGAGGGCATTTCATCACATTTGATTCTGGGCAGACAGATACTTGGATACAGTCTTGATATTGGGTTCAGAACACTAATCTCTGTCAGTGCTGTTGTAAGTCATCCAAGTTGGGAACCAAACTGCAATATCTGCCTTGGGAGGAGAAGTGACTCCTTTAATAAGTATGACATGCTGGCTTCAAAAACCATTGGCTGTCTGAAAGGAAGTAAAAAAGAAAACATCTATGCAAAAGTCGTTTTGTAGTGTGTAGTGCATTTTTCCACTTGAAATCGGGGTCTGATTCCTCTAATGGGCTTCTTGGAGGAAACTTCTTGCTCCAATAAAAGTCATTTTTCCTCAAGGCTCTCGCTCAACCTCTAACATTACTGATGCCAGTGGCTCAATTTTCAGAGAGCCCAGACTCAAAAGTTATCTCCTTTGTTACAGACATCAATACAGTTATACAGTCTCAAGCACTCACTATGAAAGGAAATGTAGTCACTTTTAAGTCTTTTATACTAAAAACATATCTTTGTTCCTTGTAAATTATGGGCTGTTTTTGATTTATTGGTATTATAACAATACATAAGTGTTTTAAGGTGATTATGGCAGCCCTAATGTTACACACACTGGATGAAATGGTGGAGGTGAGGAACTCCAGGGATAAGATGGTAGGTGTTAGGTATTCAAGTAGAAATGGTTAACAAAGGGAGAATGGCTAATGATGGGTACACCATTGGTTTAAATAAGAGTATAAGATACTCAGAAGATGCTGAATCTTCAAAAAAGGAGATTGTTAAACATTCCCTGTGGAGGTCTCTTGTAAATAACAAAATGTATTTTCACATTCAGTGATTTTTACTAAAATAACCTGAGGGTGCATTTCCTTTCTTTTTTTTTAAACAAATATTTCAAATGTTTCCTTGTTTCCATGTCTGCCAAAAATAGTGTGTAACCAAAGCCAGGATGTGAATTGTACACCCTTAATACTACACTGTGCATGCATGTGTGTCCTAATGCATGACACAAGCAAAATGGGGACTCACCGGTAAAAGCGTTCCTTCATACAAGCAGCCCCATTAGGGGTCCCCAAGTCATGGTTGAAGTAAGGGACAGCAAACAGTAAAAGAGGCCAGGTAAAGGGGTCAATTTTGAATTTGATCTACCTGAGGGAAAGGGCTTAGGGTCTCAGAAATGCATTGTGTCTTGAGGGTCCTCACAAAAGTAGAAGTACTAATGCTTGTGTGAAATCTGTCCATATGATGTTCTGGAAGCAAAATGTCACTTTGGTATGACTCAGCACTTTTACTTGTGCACATGAACACACACACCTCTTGGCATTTGAATTATTTAATGTGTCTTCATCTTTTGGTCCTTTGCCCTGGTATTATATGAAGGTCTGCTATAAACTGGCCGCTTTAATACTGTATAAGGCTCGCGGTGTTGACCATAAATGGCTCAGCTGCAGCTTGTAATATGCACCGAACAGTCCTTAAGCTGCGGATTAAACTCTTTGACTGTTCCAAATTAAACTTCAAAGAAATGAGTTGATAAAGCATTTGTGCTCAGGGCTTTTAAATATTTTTAATCTTTGTGTTTGATAAAATAAGTTTAGTAAGATTTGTCTTCTTTTAAGAAACAAGTTTAAACTTTTTTCTTCTTGTTAATGCAGTGTAGATCTTTCCTTGGTTGATATGTTTTAATTAATTTTATTACCCTTTGATTTTCCCTTACACTTAACTAAACGTTCTTGAGAAAATGTCCTAAAATGAATGTCATCAGTGTTGATTCTGAATTCTAAATCAACCAAATATGTTTTTTAAGTTGAGAAAAGTCAGAAGTTTATTCTTTGGATGATAAAATGGTATTTCTCTCTCTTCCAGGAGCTGGAGGGTGGTCTCCTTCGAGTTCAGACAGGTATCAGTGGTTGGAGGTTGACCTGGGGGAGCGGACACAAATCACTGCCGTTGCTACGCAAGGCCGCTATGGGAGCTCTGATTGGCTGACGGCCTACCTCCTGATGTTCAGCGACACAGGACACAACTGGAAACAGTATCGCCAGGAAGATAGTATAGGGGTGAGTGACCTGTAATAAAACTATACCAACAGCTGTATGTGTTATGTAAAAAAATAAACAGGAGTTGAATTTATTTATCAGTGATAGGAGGGAAGTGAGTCTGCAACTATATAGTCAAAACAGAACCAGTACAGATAAAAAGTATTTTTCACAGCAGATGTGTCACACTAGAAGCTCAGGTGTTAACATTAACAATGACTCTGTTGCAGTGAGCCCTGACAGCGTGACAATGATGTACAATACCAGGACCCTGAACTGAAGCAGCAAAAAGTTCATTCATTGTATTATTTACACCTGTTTCCTGCTGTGACATTTCAAAATGGAGAGAATGGTGCTATTACAACAATAATGGTCCTTTAAATGTTGACATGAATAATTCTGCATGTAATTTGCTGATAACTGATGTTATGTGCTGATGTTCATCCTCAGTCAACAAGGTGTTGATTAATGTGTTTGTTAAATTTTTACAATTTACAGGCAAAAAACAAAGAAACATACAGTAAAAAAGCCCCTGAAGCAGCATGTAGTTCATCTTCTTCAAAATAAATGTGTGCTAGTGTGCAGGATAAAATTAGTTTTTACAGACACATCTAATTTTTGTCACGAAAAAAAGACCAACATTGGTACAGTGATAATGTTTCGACTCGATCTCAGCATTGGGTTTAGGAGGTCTAAGGGTGATGAGCCATTTTTAACCCACTAAATGCAGATTTTTTAATACCAGCATTGTACTGTGATGTTTCATCACAGTATAATCATATAATTGAGTTTACAGCTCAAAAAAGAAAACGTTTTATGGTACCTCTATAATGGTACTGTAATTGCAATTCCTGTTATTTCTTTACCTATTTACTCACCTTAAAGGTGACTGAAGACATCATAAAGTTACTCTATATTGAAATTTATTTGTCAGTGTTTTTTTTTTGTCTAAAGCAGGTCTACTTGAAAATTACAAAATGGCAAAAATGTATACTGCATATCAAAATGAAAACTGTTTAAAATGAGACTGTTAAATAGACAGTACTGAGCAGTATTATTGCAAAGTGTAGAGTTGTACAGCTACAAAGATCTAGCATATAGTAAAGCAGATAGCTTTTCAAACATCTCCAATGAAAGTCCCAACAGTTCACTGTTCATTACCAGCCATCAATAAGCTTTCCCCTTTTATTAAGGACGTTTATCAGATTGGTTTACTAATCCCCATGAACTATGACAAGATGGCGGGCACAGCCCAGCCCAGCACTAGAGCAGCACAATTAATTGAAAAATCAGTGTTCGCTTAGCTTTCCAGACAAACTCTGCCACTGTGTGGAATGCCCGGTCAAAAATCCAAGCTGTGTCTTAAAGAAAACCCTCCAATTTATTCAAATTTACCAAATCCAAAGGAATTAGCATCTCATTTAATTGTACAATTCCTTTTAAAAATAATTTCACCTGGGGCATCTCTCACTCGCTGTGTTAACCATATTGCACATAGATAGTAGAGGCGGTAGCAGCTCCTGGTGTAGACAGGAAAATCTCCTTATTACAGTGATGCTGTGGCAAACAGCTTCAATTTAAAGTTGATGAGAAGTAAGACTCTCACAGCGAGGGTAAAACTAATGTCAAGCTAAGACTCCTTCAGAGAGAGAACAGAAAAGGGCTTCTGATGGCTTAAAAGCTTGTTGATTTCACACTCAGCATAAATCAGGATAAATCCGCTGCATGTCTCAAAAGTCCTTCTAAATCCATATATTAGTCAGCCCAGTTTATTATGGCTTTTGGGGAACAGAGTCGACTGCTGCTTCATCAGTCACAATTCCTCCAGGATCGCTCTTTCTTTTAAGCTTAGAGGCCAGAGTTGTGAGGCTGAGTGATGCTCTCTCGTTCTCTAATTTTCTCCTCCTCTCTCATCTTCTCTTCTCTTTCTATGTTCACATCCACTGCAAAGGTGTCAAAGAGCAGGTTATGTTGGGAATTTATACTCTCCTAATCAGGGAATATGGCATCCTTAAATGTTAATGGAGGTAAAGGGAGTGGAAGTACATCAAAGATTTCCCTAGGACACATGAAGACGCAGATTCTGTTCATGAGCATCATCCAGAAATGCAAATATGGGCTGATTGGGCTCTATGTACCAATAGTGAGATATGGATATGAGGAGTAAAAGGCACTGACAACCTCTTTTCTCGGTCTGAGTGATTGAAGAACACGCTTTCTGTCAAATTTAAAATGGTTTTGTTTAACAGCACTGTCATTTTAATCATTTGAAGTTGGTTCAACTTAAACATTTTGCTGAAAATGTGAATTAACTGAACTAAGGCTGAATAATCATATTCTTATTTCATGAGTTTCAAAAATGCAAATTGTAAGTCAAGTGAACTGAACTTGAGAACATTACTTACAATATCAAACTGAACTGTTCAGTCACACTGAAACTTGAAGTTCATGTCTGCCAGTTCTGAAGATAAGTTATGAAAATAAAAACTAGATTTTTTTCACAATATGAAAAATATTTAATATTTGAAATATAAAAAATAATATATAACATTTCTACATTAAAATGTCTATAAACACTAGACCTATGTATATTTTTGTTGAATTGTGTACTTGTCTTGTAGTCCGTGTAGTCCTGAGAGTTAGCTGCTCAAGCTGATTCTTGGAGGTTAAAATATCCATCAATAATACATGTAAGTTAGTCTATTAGTAGGGAGAGTAAAAAATATATTTCTCCTATTCTGGGGCTATCTAATTTAAAATGTAGTCATGTTAAGTATTGCTGTGATTGCCTTTGTGACTTTATGGCATCGTCCCTCTTCTACTCTCAAATTACATTTCATCGGATTTTCTCTCCCTGCTTTGCACTCTGACTTTCCTTCCAACCTGCGACTTCTGTTTTACTTTCCTTCTCTCCCTCTGTAATCAAAGTCTCCCTTTGGAGGATTTTCTACCTCTACTCAGGTCATATTTCAAAAGCCAATGCCTCAACTAAATGAAGTGTTGTTCTCCTAGGCCTCCATCAGCAGGAAACAGTCATTTGTGGAGGTTAGGAGAAGCTAAGCCGTTCAAAGTCGTGAGATCAGTGTAACACAGACTCCCAGATGATGAGATTTATTCAGATTCAACATTTCAGAGGTAGTGCAGCAGCACAAAGTGATACAAATATGCAGATTCAGTGACACAATCTATGTAAAGATAGTTCTCATTCTAAGGAAATAAAATGTCATGTGTTAAGTTTCAGCTTCATTTAAAATCACAACAGCGGGTAGAGACTTTAACATCACAAGTATTGATCCTGTTCAGAAATTCAGTTCAGAAATCTTATCTTGTCCACCTCCATAGGGAGGTCGGAGGTCAGGATCAGCTGCAGACCAGCGGCCTGGAGCTGCAGGGATTCAGTGGTTTATTCAAGGACATTTCAGCAGAGTATATGTTCTCCATTTGAAGGACACCACTCACTAAGTCATCCTGCAGCCCCTTTACTTCCTAACTGCTGGAAATCGGCAGTTTAGTTGTAGGTTGAGTTAACAGTATTTGCATATAAATTACAAAACGAATAAAGTGTTCAGAGCCGGTATACAGAAAAAGTTTTTAAGTGAAACACTGAAATTGCAAGGGGCCAAGAGAGAAAGAAAAAAAGACCAAAATCAGTAGCAAGGGTAATTCAGGAAGAACAGACACTGAGTCACAAAGATTCCGAGTGGAGCACAATCAAACAAAATGTTGTTTACTTATATAACACGCCTGCTATTGTGAAAAGAACCAGAACTACCTGAACAGAGAAAGGCAAGCAGACTAAAAGTAGAGAATATGTATATGGTTTAGGAAAAAAGTTGATAAAAGGGCTTACGGTCGAGTTCAACTTGAGGTTTAAAGGTAGAAAAGTCAAGAAAGAGTGTGCTAGGATCACAGAGGTTAATAAATGTTATTCTCCATGGACTAAGTGTTTACCAAAGCATCTAAAACATATAAAACTACAAGTCGTGCCTCACAAATCTAATTTTCTACCTGATCGAGAAACCATTCACCAGGAACGTGGCCCTATCTCCACAATATTCCCTTCATTAAAAGGAAAATGAAACGTTTCATTTATCACTGAAGCCTTGGGGATTTATCTTAAGCTTCAATAAAAAGATGAAAGAACTTGCTCACTTATTTAGTTGTAAGCTTGACTACAATAAAGAGAGAGGGAGAAATTTCATAGTTATCTCTCTGGAGTTTCTCAAGCAAAAGATGGACAGATGCCTGGATGGAAAGCCAGAAACCTTGCTAACTCGCTGCTGTTGATTTGTGTTTTTCCAGGCCTTTCCAGGAAACAGTAACGCAGACAGTGTGGTCCAGCACAAGCTCCAACATACAGTGATTGCTCGTTATGTCCGCCTGATCCCTCTGGACTGGAATCCCAATGGTCGGATTGGACTCAGACTGGAGACCTATGGATGTCCTTACAGTCAGTTTGAGATATTTTTTTAAATCCACTGCTTATAGGCATTAACTGAAAAGATGACACCAGAGTGGACACCTACACCAATACTAATGCCTTAATGTCTCACATCGTTGAATGGGACACAAGATTCTCTATTCTCTGTGCAAATTCTAACCAATTTTAAGCACGGTTATAGTATAGTACCAGTCAGCATTTTTGAGTGGCCATTATGGATGACCCTGTAAAACTGAACCAAGTTTAAGGGAAAAAATCTCTCCCTCTGGGTTTAGAAAGCACAATATTTTGGTTCACTATGTCCAATTTGGCAATTATAGAGTCAGAAATTGTTGCTGTGACTTTGCCGAAAGACATGACAGGTCCCCTGACCAACCGTCTAACATAACCTGCATGATGTCATTGGGAAGGAGGTCCTAGAGAAAAAAATTAAACAAACTACTACAAAAGATAGACTGATTGTCGTGGGTGACGCCCCTTTTCATCTCATATGCCAAACGTCGGGCTGATATTAGGCTGATATTGATATTGTGTTTTCTGTGCGCACCCAATTTAGCTTTTTAAAATTCAACACCTAAAGTCTTGAATTGCCTGGAATTTTAGGAAGGAATTAAATTTCATCAGGGGCAGACTGATTGTGCATGTCTTCTTACTTTCTAGTCTTTTTTTTTTTTTTTTAGTTTCGTTGTATATGCCACGACAATGACTATTTCTGTTTTATGTTAAATAGTTTCAACTCCACCAGGATTACATAATTTACATAATCTAAAATGGCATTCATAGTATTTTATTTCAATGAATTGTCTTCTCTCATCTACCCATGTGTTTTATTATTTTTATCAGCTGCTACAGCTGACACAAAAGAGAGGAGGGTGACAAGAAGCATGCTACTGGATTAGCTGACACCCCCTCCTTTTTTATTCTTTATTTTCTTCTTTGTTGAGACATTGGTGCTTTGCTTACATAACAAGAATGTACCGCAATGTCATTGTTTATTCAAAAAATCGGTTTCCCATATTTTTTTCCCTCAGAAACTTCTCTTCACATCCAAGTGCAAAAACTTTTTAGGGTTTAATGTGCATAATAAAATGTGCCTATAAAGATGGATGGTAACACACATCGTATGTTGACAATATACACATAACATTAATTGAAGATGAAGAGCAAATGAGAAGGTGGCAACAGAGCTGTGCGGACACAACAGCTGTGGCCATATAGTAATACAAGGCCACTACCAATGTCTGGTTTGGCAGAGAAAGTTTCATTGTGTTGTGAATGCAGGCAGAAGTAAAGCCAGTGTGAATAGTTAATAATTTCTTCCCTGCTCCCAAACATTACAGACTTAAATGCAAATCCATCTATACAGTTAGAAAAAAAATCCCCGTCCAACTCTGTGGACAAAGGTAATAAAAAATGAGAAAAAACAAAAAAGAAATGACGTTCATGATATCAAAACATGAGGGACTAATACGACTCAATGCATAAAAAATTGTTATCAAAATGCGATGTTTGTGTAACACTGGTGGAAGAATTATCTTTGGAAGAATGTGGCTGTGTGTGCTCTCAGTGAGAAGAAATGGTCTTAAATTAGAATCATTTCATCCAAAAAGAGGGAAAAAAACTTCCAGGCTTTTACTTTTGAATAATTAAAATGTTGTATTCGTCCTGTTTCCAGCATCACTGTCCACAGTAAAATGCGCTGGATGCAGTAATTGATGCGTCTTACCTGACATTTCTAATTTGATACTTCGATAGCGACACTGTGGGCGTGAGATTTGTACCACAGCAACACTCAGCACCATGACAGGCAATGTTAGTGTATCATTTTCTTTAGAGTGACATGACAGATGCTCCTTGGTCTATAATCTGCTTCTCATATTCTAACAACAGCTAAAACATGTAGTGTCTACATTTTGTTTATGCTTCATCACTCACTTTGCCTACTGTAGCATTCAAACCACCGATGTTTAAGTTTCACACAGTTAAGTTAAAAGAACAACCCATGATTTGCAAGAAAGGGTAGTTCCACCACCAAAAATCAAGATATAGAATTAAGGTTTTCTGCTGCTTTAGCATTCATCATTCATGTTTTTTTTTACACGTAATAGAGAGGTAGCCCTCTATTGTTTATGATGATCAGTGAAGGCAAAAAAAGGCTTTGCATATATCAGTCCAACTTATTGTCTACTATAATTTATTCAAATTCATCAACATTTTGGCAAAGTGGTATCCAGAACTTCTGTTTATCATGAGTTGAAGATGCAGAGAAATGATTCATGGTTAGATCAGTTTGCTGGATTCTAATATGAACAATATGCTGCCAACTCCTTTACAAAGTAAAAGATGAGGAGAGAAACAAACACATGTGTTTTGAGAAACAGCTCGGCAGCTCTTCGAGGATACAGGAGAATCTAAACTTTGGTGAAACATCCTGCATGACCTTTGGCATTAATTTTGACCTCACATTAATCTTTCTATTTTTATTTTTATTTTATCAATGCCAAATATGCTAATAAATACAAGAGAAAAGAATTATCAATAAACAGTATTTTGGTAATTGTACGTGTATTCTGTAAGAAAACAGAACAATGTAACCAAAATGGAAACCAAGATCTTTTGCATAAAAAATGTTTTTTAAAATTGTAATCCTGCTAATAATTTCTATTTTGACTAAATCTGATTCCATCTTTTTTCATTGTAATTACAATTCAGGTTCCAATCAGAGCCAACGCTTTGGGACCTGAGACCATGAGACTCAACAATCAACTATCTTTCTCAGACATTATTATACAAGTTACTAGCTGCAGCTTTAATGATTGCTTTGATTATAATAATATTGTTAAAAGATATCTGAATAATGTGTGGGTTTGTTGTTATTCAGACTCAGACGTCCTGAGCTTTGATGGTCGTGGCAGCCTTCTCTACTGGTTGAGTCCCAGGCCGAGGCAGATGACCAGGGAGAGCATCTCTCTGAAATTTAAAACCCTGAAGAACTCTGGGATACTGCTTTACACAGAAGGACAGAGTGAGCACAGCCTCACCCTAGAGTTAAAGAAAGGAAAACTTCTCCTCCTCCTCCGACAAGGTACAACTCTGAAATCCTCATGCACACAATGTCATGATTGCTCAAAGTCATACTGCATCAAAATATAAAACAGATAGGTCTACTTGTAGCCATTTGGCTGTGCTGCTGTGTAAAGAAAACTTCCCAGATGATGCAAATATCTGTAACTGTTGTATTAGAAGCCATATCCCCTATTCCCACAAACTGCCTTTTTAATAGTTTGGTTTCCACTGAGATGCAAAGGATTATGTCACCAAGACAATCATCTACTGTTTGTGATCACATGCATATCAAGAATTGCTTTGCTCTGATTAGTCTGCGGTTATGTGCTCAGCAATTTCAGTAAGTTTTGCCAAACCTTGCTGGCTGCTTTATTGTTTTCCAGCCAATGTATTGGTGGACAATATCATGGTGTTTGTTGATCACATGAAGAGAAAAGTTTCTATTTTCTAGCTAGTGCCTCCACTTATGTATAGTGATTGCTTTGGTATTGTGAATTAAAGGGGTGGTCCACTGATTTTACTCATGAAGTTCAGTTTACTCGTCATAGGCCATAGTGAACGTAGATGAGTTAACTGTGAAAACAGTTGTATGTCTTCTTTAGCTCTGGAGGGGGCTTTCCAAAGCCCTGGCTTTAACAGTGAACCTGTGTTACAAACGGAAAGGACAAAAGACAATGGCAATAAAAAAAATCTTAGGAGCCAGTGTTTTTTGGAGCCTGACCCATACTACATACTAAAAGTCACTATCTGCTGACCACTCTTTTTTAAATCTGTTTCTTTTGAGTTCCCAGACGTTATGGGAGTTCAATACTAAATTGCTGGAGTGCTCATATTTGTGGCTGAGCTCAACTTCTTTTGGTTGTTGTTTGTAATTTATTTTCTTTTTATGCCGTTGATTTACGTGGTGGTGAAATCCTACTTAGACAAGCATTAGAGAGATATTTCCACTCGCAGGCATTCGATTTGTGTGTCACCTTGCTTTACTATTTTTTATTTCAGTTGCATCTAAACTGCTGAGCTCATGTCCTACAGTTTATGCTGCTTCTACGCTCAGCTGCACTAAGTTCATATCCATCCATCCTGAAGTCATCTGCTTAACAACAACGCCGCATACAGTCACATCTCATAGGAGATTGTTCTCTGAGCGGACTACTACTTTTGTGATGTTAATATGCATAATTAAAAGTCTTAGCCTGCTGGTACCATAGGTGGATTAGATTTATGCATCTCAATTCACTAACAGTGTGTTCTCTTTGTGGTCTGAGGTCGGTAGCAGTGAAAAACTCATATGATGGTTGGTGTCTGGTCTGCACAGTAGAGTGGTAACTGGTTTTGGCTTCTGTATTGTATGTGGCTGTAGGGGAAAACTTATTACTGTCACTCCTCAATGTCTGCTATGCTGAGCTTGGTGTTGGCGGCTGTGGGAAATGCTGAGGTAAGAGCCAAATTTGAACTCTATAAATATTCTTTTGCCTTAATTTTCTCTCTTCCTTACCTTTTGGGTGTTTTTTTTCTTTGCCAGTCCACCAAGTATGTATGACTTTACTTAAGAGGGCATAAAGGGGTAGGTAATGGTCAGATAATTATGACGTAATGAGGAACTACTGTACTTATTAAGTACTCAGTATGTACAGCTTTACTTGGGGTTAAACAAAAAGAATAGTTAATGATTAAGTAATAAGTAATAAATGAGAGGTTGGTTCAGTGAGTTAATGTGGAATGACTAAGTAAGTGGCCCCCTATGTACCAAGGCTGAGTCCTTGCTGCCACGGCCATGAGTTCGAGTCCAACCTGTGGTCCTTTGATGCGAGTCATCCCCCCTTTCTCTCTCCCCCTTTCTGGTCCATCTTGAGCTGTCGTATCAAATAAAAATAATAAAGTGTCCGTTATTCAGATTCATAGATATTTCTAATCATTACCTTATTATTCATCAATATAGTGTCTCGTCCATCATTATTATATACTCCTCGATTCAAGTTATTATTAACTAATTCATTACTTATCAGGTCATTTCTGATTCATTTCTCATGCTTTCCTTGGTAATTTCTCAGAATTGTATGTATCCTATTGTAAAGTGTTACCATGCACGCAAATTTCAGAAAGTTTGTCATTTGAAACCAATTTTTCCTCTCTTAGCTATGCAAACTAGCATGTAAGGGTAGTCAAACGCAAGCATTAACTTGACTTATGGTTATGAAAGACCATTAGTAATGAATTAAGTCAAGTTCTTTCTTCAGTCAAGTCAAGACGCCACTATCTTGGAACAGTGTTAACAAGGTTAATTGTGTTGTGCTGTTTCTTCTTTGCTGCTTCACAGAAATTACTAATTCATTACACATTCACACACCGATGCACAGCATCGGGAGCAATTCGGGGTTCAGTATCTTGCTCAAGGATACTTCGACATGTGGCGGGAGGATCCGGGGATCAAACCAACAACCTTCTGATTGACCCGCTCTTCCTCTGAGCCACAGCCACTGCCCCAAGATGCCAATGTACTTCTAAAGAACTTCTGTGAAACAGTGAATTCTTAGTGACTGTTTTGCATGAAACTCAATGAGAGGAGTTTTTTTTTTCATAATCATTAACTAAGGGAAACTGTTGTGCTTCTAGATCACAGTGCTTTTTGAACATTACCCAAAGGTCAGAGTTTCTGTAGAAGAAGAATCCGACGCTACAGTTGTCATTTCACAACATTTGCATACATGGAAATGAAATTCATCCTCCTCATTTGACCCATCTATTACTAGGAACAAGGGGCACCCGTGGGCACCAGTGGAGCACTTTAGGTTCAGTCCAGACACTTGAACATGGGGAACTGTGGGACCGGATAGCCAACCCTACGTTTAGTGGACGACTCGCTCTACCTACTAAGCCACAGCCAAAAGTTAAAGTTAGCACTAGAAATGTAATGCCAGCAACTCTAAATCCAGGCCATTAGTATACTTATACATCCAGTGGCGGTACTATCTTGAATGACACCCTGGGCGAGTCCCCCTTCGAGCCCCCCCCGTAATTAAAAAAAAAAAAAAAAACACAAAATTCTGCACATAATATAAGTGAAGTTATCAGAACTTAGAGAACCACAAGGACATCCATAAATATACACTATATACATAAATGTGCCAAACATACAATCAGATATATAAAAAAGTAACAAGAGCAGAGAGCAACAATAATATATAATTGCGTTATTTGGAAGAAAGTCGAGGTGTGACTGACTTACAGTGGATCCCCGTTCCCCCCCTTGTCTGTCCCATTAGGGAGACCTAGAGGTGAACTGTCCCACGCCCCCCTTCCCCTTCCCCTTTTCACATAGCTTCTGTGCACGGCACCTTCTCAGCAAGCAGGGGCGCTTGCAGCTGTAGGGGGCGCCAATTTGCCAATTCCCCACACAGTGATATGATAGAACAGATAGATAATAGAAATCCGCTTTGCGGTGCAGAGGACTTTTGCCCGTGTTACCCCCCATGTGTCATGAAAAAATGCCGCCCTGGGCGGCTGCCTGCTTCACCCATGACCAAAACCGCTACTGCATTAATCACTTTAAAAACTTGAAAACAGGGGTAATTAACTAATTTGCACCTTTGCCTGCATTAGATTCTCATTAGTGTGTGCTGGTCAGGCCCCCACCGTAACACCCGCTATGAGAGTTTTGTTCCCTGGTGTACCCTAAACAGCCTTCAGCAGCACTTAACAGAAGACCCTTAGTTCCACTCTGTTTGCCTGTAGCCATCCAAGCTGTTTAAATAAATACACTGGCTTATTAAAATGTATGCGCTGCCAGCAAAAGCATCCTTTTTTTCATCCATTTCCTTGCTGCTATACATTCATCGAAATGTGGGTTTATAGTTCTGTAACTCACTGGCTAATTAAGCTCAGTTTTTTTTTTTTTGGTCCCACTAGAATATTTTATAAAGGTAAATATACCAGGGATCAATGTTCACTGATCTTATGCCTTCTGGCTGAGCTTTTGTTTGTTAAAGAATGAAGGTTTCATAAAAGAAGATAAAAACTTGATTTTTTCCCCTTATGTACAATAATACACATTGAGTACAATTCATACCCTGTATGTGCACCCGTATAAAAAGCCGGACAAGACATAAAGAGCAGAGAAAACAGACCAGGTAAGTGAGCTCTTGGGATGGAGAGGTGATCTCTTTTATGCTGTGTGAGTTCATCACATGCAGACTCAATGTGAAAGTTGGATCTGTTGAGTTTATCCATGTGGTTTACTTTTGATCTGAAGAAAAAGCCTCAAATTCTTCCCCAAGGAGTTGACTGGAGCTGCCTGTGAACTCAGAGTTTCAGGTAGAAGCTTTTGAAATAGAGAACATTGATTTGTGGTTGTATTAAAACTGTTCGCGCTGAAGGTTCAGTTGCTGTTGGAGCTCCATCATGTATTAAAGGACTGATGGGACTGTAAGACAGAGCCCCTGATATGTATGAAAAGCAAAAGCAATGGTCTGGTCTTGCTTAATTCTATTATATTTATCTGAGTTTTTGATTTACTCTCAATACAAAATCAAGAATCTTATACACAGGGAGGTTTTAAGCACTCATATCAAATGTTTTTTGTTTTATTTCTGTCTTTCTGTTAGTCCCTGTCTACAGAAGTATAAAAACAGATGCTGGCTGGAAGCAGATGATGACTCATTCTGGATACAGTCTGTCAGCTCAGCTGTCTCAGTGAATGGTGGGCTGTGTGTAGTGTTCAATCCTGCAGTATCGACTTACCATGTTATTCTACTCGATCCATAGTGATTTATAGGAAGGTGTCTCCGTTGTGTTCAGTCTCACAGGGTTGTAAATAAGGGGCTTAGCCTTCATCTAAGAAGCAACATGTCAGAGAAAGCCAGCTGTGCTTAATTTTACAGCCCACAGCTGACTCGTTCCAGTAATACAGAGGCCATGTTTGACTCACAATGACAAGCTGATTAGCTGCATAGCCTGTATGAGGCTCAAATGGTCCCGGATTTAGTTGCCGGTTCAGTGTCAAGATCAAGTGGTTTGAAGCAAGGCTTCTTCAAACAATTCTTCCTGGAGTTATTGCTGTGGATATGTTTAGAGATCGCTGATTGTTGCTGACGTTTAAAAGTTGCTGATTGTGTCGACTGATTTTTGTAGACAGCCAGTCATAAAAATAAAATGAAAGGAAGAAATAATTACAATGTCTGCTTGATTCTGGCAGCTCAGAGGCAGTTTTATGTTTTCTTTTCTTTCACATTTTGACGACTCACATAAAATAACATAAATTTTAAACATTACTCATATATTTTTTACACATCTTAAAATGGCTCCCAAAAGGAAGAACTGAAACAGCAGTTGGATGTCAATGTTGTATTAACTTTTCCTCTTTATTTGTTGTTTAGCAAAGTCTTCAAACACATAAGGTTTCTGAAATTTTCTCCTTGCAGGAGCACTTGTTGGAAGCAGGTTCAGAGGTTTCACATTATGCTTGCGATGACTGATTGTGTATACCGTCTCAATCATTTAAGCTGAACAGAATATAATGAAATGCTGAAACAATTACAGCAGGCTGTCATCTGATAAGATCTGTCAGTGTCTTCCAACAAAATTAGATTTAGAGTTGTAGCGAAGAGCTGTAATGCAGGAGCAGACAGCAGATGATTAGGTGATATTGCCTTAGGGAGCTGTCTGAAATGATCTAACACAGAAACCTACACTGTAAAAAGTAAAAAAAAGACTGATGAACTTTTAGCAGCTCCATACAGATCCCCTCAAGGTCCAGTGTGTAACATCTAGGAGAATCTATTGGCGTTACATGGAATATAATATTCACAGGTATGTTTTCATTAGTGTATAATCACCTGAAAATAAGAATCATCATGTTTTTGTTACCTAAGAGCCTTTTACATCTGCAGATATAATATGGATATGGAGGCCACCATGTTGAACCACCATGTTTCTATAGTAACCCCGAACGGCCAAACCCAACACTGGCTCTAGATAGGGTCCCCTTTGTGCTTGGAAGGGAAGGGTGAACTGAGAGACTTGTGGTCTGCAACTACACTGCTAGATGCCGCTAAATCATACACACTGGGAAATTCCTTGGAAAAGGCTACATCAATCCTGAGGATACGCCCCTGGAAATTAAGGCGACAGCCGTGATTCGGGAGATCAACCAGAGGAATTCTTAAAAGTTTACTGCAGACATGAATATAGAACAAACATTATCGTTGTGAAGGATCTTGATATAGAGAGAGGGGAATTCATTAAAGGCAGCCCAATGCCATGCAACGGCCTATGGTTTACTATTAAGTTGGATCAAGTACAACAATTTACTTACTAACTTATATTACTTATAATACATACATAATGTATATGTATTATATGTGCTGTTTGCTGGTAAACAAACAAAGGTTACGTTTACATTCAGTGTTAATCACCAAAAGGTATTGTGTGTGTCCTTTAGGTCAAACAGACATGTTGAATTGCATTTTGAAACCCACATTGTTTACATTCATGTTTACATGCTACCAGTCTTGTTCGATGACTTGATTGGCACATTCATCTAAAAAGATCTGCACAATAGCACTTCTAGAGGTAACAAAAACTCTCCATGGTACCTTTAAGTAGAACTATTTGGGATTTTATAGTTCCACAATATTAGTCTCAAATGTGACAAATATGGATAATAACAAAACAGAAATAATATTACAATACAAGAAAAGAAACAACCCCAGAAAATTTGCTTGACTGATAGACTCCTTAGTGCCCACTCATACAAGAAACTGACAGTGAAATTCAATCATTACGTTTTTTGCATAATATACTGGAGGTTTGATGATGTAGTGACGACTTGAGTTTAATGCTGTGACTAATGGTTGTGAATAGTTTCATTAATGGTCAAATGGATATAAAAGCTCTTTTTTTGCAAGATTGTATTAATTGTATTTCTCCATTTTGGGCTCTCTGCTTCTCTTGTTCCCTCACACGCACTGTGAAGATGGTTTACAAATTAAAAATTTTCACCTCAGCAGGCAAATTCACTTCAGTTCTATGTGGTTCTGCAAAAGATTGTGGTTCATGGTTTAATATTGATAAAGTAAACATATCTGTTGATTTTACCCATACTAATCAAGACCAAGTTCTTTTTCCCGAACCCTAACCAAATGCTGTGAGTGCCTTCGACGTTTAACATAGTGTCAGTTGAGAGCTTATATTGTATGAAAACAAATTAAATGTAGTACATTGTTAGAGAACATTCCGTTGATACTTTCAGTGTATAAACATGGAGACAGGGTTGCAATGAAAGACACTGTATGTGTTATCAGTAATGACTAAATACACTTGACTTTGCCTTCATTTCCCTCTCCCTCTCTCTCTTTGACATGCGCTAACATCTGTCTGCTGATGATTAAGTACACTTCACTCTTTCCTCCTCTATCTCCGTCTGTCTCCTTCCCTCTCTCTAGTTTCTCTCTGCTTTGCCAAGTATCTGACTGACAGATCAATGATGATTGATGACTGAACACATTTGACTGTCTCGGCCTCTGTCTCCTTTTCTCTTTCTCTTTACTACTTTTCCCCACACAGACAACATTGTCTGCTCCAACAATATCTAATTAATATTTAATGACCGAGTGCATTTAGCTCTGTCTTCACCTCCCTCTCAGCAGAAACTCTGCACTCTGCCAACACTTCAGGGAGTGCAGAGAACCAGCAGCACTTCCTTTGTCAGTTATTTATGCCATTCTTCCTCTGTCTCTACTCCCTTTAGTGTTAATTATGTGTTACCACCTACCTTTTCTGGTTCTTTCTCAGTTTTAGATGTAGATTTAGAGATGTGATCCCCAACAAAAAACTGTGGCACTACTGTACTGCCAGTTCATGAGGAGTAAACTGGGATTCGGTGCACACTTTGTTCCCAGAGAGCTACATTTCCCACTATGCTGTTGGAAATAAAAATATATCAGAGTATAATTATCTCTCTGAATTAAACATTAGAAAAAAAATTTAAGAATTAACCAAAGACAGGATTTCTACAGGGGAAAAAATTTAATTTATTTCTAATAACTAGCTGATAGCCAGAAGAATGAAAATTCAGCAACCTCAAATATCTGATATCAATATCAGTTTCCAAGTATCTGCACTGACTGTATTTTATTTAAAAAACAAATTCAAGAGACTTTACTCTCCTCTATCCACATCTTCATCTCAATTTTTGTCTTCTTCATGCACTGCAGGGAGGAGTTCTTCTCCCGACAGCCATCATCTGGTGTCTCTGGGCAGCCTGTTAGACGACCAACACTGGCACCACATCGCAGTGGAGCGTCACAGCACTCACCTCAACCTCACCGTGGACAAAAGCACGCTGTGGGCGCAGATCCCACCGAGACTCACCCACTGGGACTACGACCAGGTGTGTTTGTATTGGTGTGGCACGCACACAAACAGAAAAACACCCTCTTTATTTCTTTTTAACTATGTGTTCTGCTCATTCGTCTCTGTACAGATGAGAGTGGGAGCAGACCAGGGCCCCAGCTCTCCGAGGTCAGTCGGGTCAAACAAAAATTTTCACGGCTGTTTGGAAAATCTTGTTTACAACGGCATGAATCTGGTAGACCTTGCCAAACAGAAAGACCAGCGGGTCTCTGTGAAGGTAAACTGGCTCAATGAAAAGTGTGTTTGTATGTGCATGTTTGTTTATAGCACTGTGGATCCACTATTTGAGGGCATAAAGGGACATAAATCAGAAATGAGATTCATATACTGTTTGAGAGTCATTTGCACCAACATACGTATTGGACCATGGAAAGTGGTGGAATTTTATACCCAATTTTTGAATACTACTTTATATATTACAGAGCAGCATAATCTATATATATTTTTTGGTTATATTTTATATTAATTGTCTAAATCTACAAAGCAACTAATAAATGCATTGGAGAAAAAAGCACAATGTTTCCTTCTGAAATGGGGTAGAAGTAAAGTACAGGTACCTCAAAATTGTATTTTACATAATGCACTTTGTTACTTTATACAACTGGCCATGAAAAAATACACATTTTTGATTAGCTTGATGGTGTCCATTAAAACCCTATAAGAGAGCACCTCAAACAAACCAGTCAGCATTCAATCCACAGTCCTGAATCACTGCACAAGGTACTTCATAATAAGATTATGGTCACCATTGCAACAATGCTTCTGCTTGATACTTCATTACTAGATAAAAGCTAATAATGCGACTGATCTAACATTTGTTAAACTGACTACAGACAAATTATGTCAGTGCACAATAAACTAAACTCCACTTTGTTTTGCCTTCTCCTTGTCCGTTTCTTTTGTGTCAGGACACCTTAGAGTGTATTGTTGCTTGCACACAACACATTTACTAAATTAATATTATATATCAATCACTAACACTGTCTGTTGTTGAGGAGTATCACGTTTAAGACAAATAAAATCATAATAAGGTGGGAATGCAAAAGACTAAGTATGGTACACAATATACATTGCTGAATCTTTATTTCTGAAGAAGTGAAAATGTTATCTCAAAGTACACTTATTAAACTTTTAAGAGGTAAGGAAATAGCCCCATCAGTCTAAATAAGAATGCATGCCTTCGTATTTCTGTCTGTATTTGTATTCGTGTGTGCACCGCTGAAAAATCTCTACGGCATTCTCCTCTTCAGGCCGCATTACTGTATATCGCTTTAACTACCCCACAAAGAGCTTTTAGATTTGATTTGAAGTGTCTGTGCGTTGCATACTCCACTGAAAACAGAAGCCCAGGAGGGAACCTGGGAAGTAACATATCACTGTTGGTGCCCTGGCTGTGGACTTACTCTAATTACCACTTCTCACAACTATGAGCCTGCATACAGAGATGACCAACTGCTCCCAGTCCCTTAATCACAGTTTTATTTCTTTCTCTTTCTTCCTGTGTTTTTCTGCACCCCCATACTTTTTCTATGACCTTAGAAAGCTGTTGGATGACTTTGGTGACTTCAGTTTGGTCTGCTTGTGCTTATTCTAAGCCTGGCTATTATCATTATGGTAATATGCTCATGCTCTTTAAGGAGACTTGCTGATGAGATCTCTGTGCATCAAGGCGCCACCATGCCGCCTTAGAAATGAATTCATATTCATGCGTTATCCTGTTTTCCTTCTTTTGCTGTAATAATTCCCCTCTCCATATCTTTTCCCCTCTCCTCACCTATCTCAGGGTAATGTGACCTTTTCTTGTGCTGAACCCGTTTTTGTTGCCATGACGTTCACCAGTCCCCAGAGCTATCTCTGGTTGCGAGGGGTGCCAGAATTGTCATCAACTGTCACGTCGGTGGGGCTTCAGTTTCAGACGTGGAACAGAGGTGGGCTGCTGCTGACCTTTGTTCTCCCAAAGCAAGGGGGTGCAGTCTGGCTGTACCTGAGCAAAGCCAGGCTCCATCTGCAGATCCACAAGTCTGGCAGGTCACCGCTGGAGCTCAGTGCAGGTCAGTCTGAGCACAAACCTGCAATCTAAACCATAATTTTCTCACCTCAAGTGCCACATACTGAATCAATACCAGTTTCAACAAGCATTGTTTTGCAGCTGAGCCAGACCTCTGACCTCCTTGTGAGACAAGGAAAATACTACAGAGATCAATTAGTGAATACCTAGAATTCTAATCTTAACCCTGTAAGATTTTCAATATATATGTGTCTTTGTGAACAGTATACTGTATCTGTGTGTTCTCAGGTTCAGCTCTGAATGATGGTCAGTGGCACTCTGTGGAGCTGATCTCCAGACGAGGACATTTGACTGTCGCTGTGGACGGAGATGAAGGAGCCTCGTCTCACGCCAGTCCCTCATTTCTTCTTACCACGGGAAGTCAGCTTTTCTTTGGTGGTAAGAGAGATACACAGACCTACACATGCACAAACTAGCATTATTCTGACAGGTTTAGGGTGGACATCATTGTTTGTTGTTTGATTGCCTGACTGATGTTTTTTCCTCCCTGCATAGGTTGCCCTGCTGAAGGGAACAGCCAGGAGTGTATGAACCCTTTCAAGACTTTCCAGGGCTGCATGCGCCTGCTGACTGTGGACAACCAACAGGTGGACTTGATTATGGTGCAGCAGAGGCTGATGGGAAACTACAGTCACCTGCAGATTGACATGTGTGGTATCATCGACAGGTCAGACCTAATTGATCAAGCAAATGCTAAATGCTACATTTGTTTTTACCTTTATTTATCGAAGAAAGGTTGGTTTGACACATATTATTTTATGTAATACCTAGTTGTGTGTGTTCGAAGGTACTGACTTGTTGTCACTCTTCCTGTAAACCCTGTTAATCTCCCTCTGAAGGCTCCTTGACTGGCTTCCTGTGAAATGAGGTTACATATGGATTATTAGACAGCAGTGGATTGGATACAGAGGGATTTATGGCATCAGTATTCCTGTCTGAATATTTCCAAAAATGTTTGCTCACTCAGAAGAAAATCCAGTTATTGTTTTGTCTGTCTAGGTGCAGCTTCCTTTCTCTGAGCTGAAATTGAGTTTTGCTTTCCCGGTTTCTTAAAGATGTGATTTATTTGCAAGAAGCAGTGGTACCATACTACAGTATATAGACTGTTACAGAGAGAATACTCTATCCAGGAAAGCCACAAACAACATTTAGAGTCTGTTGGCTCTGTGCAATTCAAGGATATGTTGTTTCAAAGTTAGTTTTAGTGGATATTTGCTCTCTGCTTCTACTTTTTTATGGACCTGGGTGTAGGATCTATCGGTGAAGCATGTGAACACAGCTCAGCCTAGCTGCAAAGCTTGCACAAATGTGAAATGCCCTATCTAGAGTCAGTGTTTGGTTGTAGAAACAGGGAGGTTCAACATGGCGATAGAAGAGGATCCGCTCCCCTTTTAAATCAAAAGAACCCATTCTAAAGCAATGAATCAATTATTCTTATATTTTTAGGTGATTATACACTAACAAAAACATACCTATGAATATTATATTCCATTTCTGCCAATAGAACCTCCTAAATGTTACACACTGGACCTTTAAATTGTTATTGCCAGATGACCATCATCATTACCATTTTGCTTATGTTGATGGTTTTTAATACTCTGGACTCCAATGCGTCCAGAAAGTGTAAATGAAAGTTTGCAATATTGTGAGTCAAGCACAATTTAAAGAGTCTCCTGAACTCAAGTCAGTCCTAATGTCCGGATTTAGATTTAAAAAACCTCAATAATTGCGGTTGCTGGCGCATTATGATTCTGTTGAACATGCATCTGTTGCATTTTAGATGTATGTAGCAATAAAAATCAGCTGGATGGCAGTCACAGCTTAAAGTTAAATACAATCTTGCTATCTTGCTTTTGATGGGCAATATTATATTTTATAGGGATATTAGAGTCATACATACATATCCAGGGAACTGAAATGCTCTTGAACCAACACAGATATTGTTCACAAATAATCCATTACCCCTATTAGACAGAATCAATAATCTAGACATTTCCGTATCATTAAATACTGTGGCCTCTCCCTTTTATCTTTTTGTATTGCACAGAATGTCAAGTCAAGCTCCACTGTGTCAGTTTAATGTTGTGTTGTGTGTGAGCAATAATACATTGCTCTCAGAACATGACATTAGACCTTTTTCCAAATCATTACAGCCCACTGGTATATGACGTGCATGTTATCCTCTGAGCAGCTTTTGTTTCAATAAAATGTCAACCTGAAAAATTGATTTGCACTTCTCCAACCCCTCACCTCCAACCTACAGTGTACTTCCCTGAAATAAGCATTGCTTGACTAGTCATATGCACATTGAATTCATCAGTTAAAAAAAAGACACATGCTTTGCAAGATAAGTGAGGTCACAATAGACTGCCTAATGCATATATTTAAAAGCACATAGTAGCGAGTAAATACAAAGTACTGCACCTGCCTCCATCCCAACTTACTTTTAAAAGGAAAGCAAAGAAATTTGTACTTAAAAGCAAACGTTACCATCTGACAAGCCTGCTGAGTAAGGCTTTTTAGAACAGTAAATTTCCCACTGACTAAAAGATTAAAAATACATGCTGCTCTCCCTCTCTCTTTCTCTCTTCGTCTCTCTGCGGTCACAATTCGCTGACCTCATTTCTCCTTCCAAATATGTTTACCCAGTCGCCGCTGAGCTCCATTCATCCCAACCTTCATCCCCTTTGTTGTACCCTCCCTTCTTCCCCTCCTTCGATCCGTCTCTCAACCTTAATTCCCCTTCCTGGATTTCTCTCTCCCTCTTCCTCTCTACAGTATCTCCACCATTTTGTCTCTTTCCTCGCATGTCCTAACCCTTTTCTTCCTTCCCTCTTTCTTGTTTTGCTTTCTACCCCGGCTCAGTCCTGAAACAGGACTGACACTGAGAAGGCAGAAAGTCCAAGTTAACAGCAGCAGAGTTTGCTCAAACGTGCTTTACTGTGTGTATTTTGGATGCCATAGTACATGACAAAACTCACATGAAGTTGAAGGACAAAGTAATAACACCAGGATTATTTTTCAATCAGAAAAATCAGCAGTGTTCCGACAAACACACTGCTGATCAGCAGGAAAACAGCTTCTCTTGAGTCATGTCCACAGCGGACAAGAAAAATATTCACTTGAATGTGTAAGCATTGTTTACAGAGCTTTGTTCCAGTCAGTGTTGTCAGGAAGCTGTACCAGATGACAGGAACATTTTGGAGCCTCAGTCATTAATGGTGTAGGGATACATTTCTGAGCAAATAAACTTCACACAAATGTGGTTACACATATTCGCTCTTTGCTCCAATGCATCGTGACTGCTGTTGTGGAGGGAAGGAAGAAAGAATTGATCTGATTTATTCATATTCTTTCTTTGACCAAAGGATAGGAATTGTGTTATTTTATCATTTTAATATTATTAAAAAATGTGTTGAAAAGAAAAAAACAACAATGAAAGAAAAGTCTTTATAGTCTAAGCCTGATATTTCTCACACCTTTGTGCCATATACTGTAACTCTGTTGTTGTCCAAAACTACTTAAAACATTTAAAAGAGCAATATTGTTGCAATTGGTGACATCTTCTTTCATTACGGTGATAAATGAGGGGGTACGGCCAGAAACAAGCTCTAGTTAGATGTTGAATGCAGTGAAAAGTAGAGGTGTTTTAGGTCAGCGCAGTTGATTACATTTTATCTTCAGTGATCTGGGTTCAGGTTTCAGCCAAAACAGCCAACTTTTAGTTTTTGTTATTTTATCATCAGGAAAACCTCACCCTAACTTAACATAATTGTTTTACCTCCTTACATTTAAATCTAAGGCTAACCGCAGCTATAATATAAGGCATTTTAACTTTGGACATACTCTTGGTGTGTCTTATTTGTGCTTTTTTAATAAATTATTTTGAAAAACCTTAATGCTACATGCTGTTTCTTGTTTTAATCACATATACAGTTGGGTAGCTTGTGAAGATCAATAAAGTCTTATCTTACTTGGCTCTACAACACGGGGAAAGGTGATGGGGAGTATTGGGTCTAAATGTTTGCTTTTTTTCTCTGTCTGTCTCTAAGGTGTTCTCAGAGTCACTGTGAACACGGAGGCAGCTGCAGTCAATCATGGAGTACCTTTCACTGTAACTGCTCCAGCACCGGCTACAGCGGAGCCACCTGTCACAGCTGTAAGGGCATGAAGCTTTGTTGGTTGTTGTTGTTTAAAGGTCACACATATACACTATGGACTACATGTGTATGTGTGCACTTGTGTACACACGCTTACTGTAATGAGACAACCTGTTGCTTTTAACTTGAGGTCCCTGCAGACAATGTTGTGGCAGAAGGTCAGGCTGAGATCAAACCTCTTTCCAGCAATCATTGTCATTGTGTAAGAAGCTGAGGAGTCTCCGTCCAGAGGAAAACAGTCGACACAGGAAAAAAGAAAGAGGGAGATTTAGAGGAGTGCTTGAAAAGTCATGAAACTTGGCAGACCCTTTTCAAATAGCAAAACTTTACATTTGATATGGGTCTTGCGAATGGGTGTGGCAAAATGGCTCGATAGCGCCCCCTACAAAGGAAAACAGCTGTGGCGTCCTTTTTTACCAAGATGTATGAAAAGGCACATGTATAATGACAAGATACACAAAAGGCCTCCTGGAGAAATTCCCCAAACCAGTGCCTGAATTGGACCAAAAAAGGCGCAAGTACCCTAATTCAGTACAACTCTAACCATAAACACAACAAAACCCTAATAATTCTTTTGCTGTTTTTTATCCTTGTTAACAAGGACATTTTCACTGCTGTTTTCTTAGCGTTAAGCTAGTTACGTGTTTACATGGAGACGCAGGCATTTAGGAGTACCTCACCAGCATTGCTGTACACAGGGTTTTTGAAATACTGAGGTCCAAAAACTGAATTTGCTAGGGTGGTTTTGGGAGTATGCATCAAAACATCAAGTACTGGTGAGCACCGGCCCACTTATGGCACTGCCCCAAACCCAATGGGAAGTCATCCATTTTGAGTTTAATGTGCAAGTTTGACAAGGTTTTTGCCATTTCCAGGCATTGTATTTAAAAAAAAACTGGAGAACTGATCGTATCGACTTCAAATTTAGTCAGTGTGATCTAAGGATCTTCATGATGAACAGTTATAAATATCTTGAGTTTTCGTTGAAAGGTGTGCCCATGCCATGTTGACTATGTTTGACATTTCGCTAAGAAACATTTAGGAAGTTGTTGTAATGTCTCCAATAAGCCCCAAACTTATTACTTATATTTGATGTGAAGAATTCATCTAGGTGTCAATATTCAGTTATAGTAGCGACACCTACTGGAAACAGGAAGTAAGCCTTGTATGGCAATCATCATCTGATTTACATGAAATTCTCATGGTGTGGTCTATGCATAATATGGTAGCACATAATGCATTTGCAGTACGCCCCCGACATGTGTGGACAGAGAGTGTTCATGGCTGCTTGCAGCAGGCATATAATTTACAAAATTTTAGATGTGTTTGATTGATTGTTTGATAGCAGAATAGCTTTGCCTTAAAAAATGTGAACTGAAATACAGGTTTCCTTTAATATTTTGAAGTGCCTCGTACTTTGTATAATTACTGTGGAAAGGCACAACAGTGTGGCTCTCTTGTGGGCGGAAGCTTTCGAAAAGAGTTAGACAGTCTCTCTTCATCTCCATTGTGAACAAAATACTGAAGTTCCAATGCAGTTTTCAACCAAAGGAAGACAAAAGCGAGGATAACGCAAACATAAATTACTCTGATGATCATGATGCTGTTTCTCTCCTCAGCTATATACGAGCAGTCCTGTGAGGCATACAAACACAAAGGCAACACATCGGGTTATTATTACATTGATGTGGACGGCAGCGGACCCATCCGACCGCAGCTAATATACTGCAACATGACAGGTAGCTGACACACACACACATCAAAACACACCATTCAGACACCCTCATGTCCAGTCTCTCCCTCTCTCTCTTTCATCCTGCCTCTATTTCTGTCAGTCCTGCTGAGGAAAGCATCCTACAGGCCATTTTTTTCACAAACACAAATGAAAAATAAAAAATACATGCTTTGTATTTTCTTTCTTTGTTATTTCTTCTGTCTCTCTCTCCTCCAGAGGACAAAACATGGATAGTGATCAAGCACAATAACACAGAGCTGACCAGAGTCCGACCATTGCCGGGAAAAAATCAGCACTCAGCTCACTTTGAATACACATCTGAGGAGGAGCAGCTGGCTGCCATTATTAGCCAATCAGAGCACTGCGAACAGGAACTGACCTACCACTGCAGGAAGTCACGCCTCCTCAACACACCGGGTTAGGCCATTTGATATTCTGTGACACCACATACAGATTATTCAGAACCTTTAATATTAAAAAGAAAGTTGAAGTCGGATATGTAGGTTGAAGGAACTGTCTCTTGCAGTCCTGCAACTTTATGGGATTGCAATACAAACTCTACAGAGCTTTAGTAATCAATTATGAATAATGTTTATTTACACTTATTTGTCAGTTTATTAGGTACACCAAGCTGAATTTAAAGCAGTCTAATACAACAATCCTGCTATAAATCGTACCTACATGAAAGAGGAAGTTTGTGGTGCAGCTAAACTGTATTGCAATAAACAGAAAGGTGTTTCTGTTGTTTAGCCTACCCTCATTGATGTACTAAATTAAGTGGAAACACCTGTAAGTATAATGCAATACAAATAGACAGCAGTACAAACTGCAGCAAAGTGACAATACAGTTGAATCAACGCCTCAGCAAACAGTTTCAACAAAAACATTTTAGCCTTCATGAAGAAGATTTTTTGCAGGCCTGCATTTTTTAAAATTAGGTTCAACCAGGTGTACCTAATAAAATAAGTGTAAGTGTATATTGTCATTAGAAAGCTGCACAGTTCAAATGTTAAATAATTTTACTGTGGTTTAACATTTTACTTTTCACATTTCACAAATTGTCAAATAATGATTGTATTTGAATCATTGTATTTAATCATTAAATAAAGCATTTTTAATGATTAAATACAATGCAATATTGTAATATATATTATAGTTGTAATGTACAATACAGTTCCTGACAAGTGAAACAAATGTGTGTTACAGATGGCCCTCCACTAAGCTGGTGGGTAGGAGGTCCAGGTGTTGGACAGATGCAGACTTATTGGGGCGGGGCTGCACCAGGCAGCCAGCAGTGTGTCTGTGGCCTGCAGGAGAATTGTGTGGACCCCAAACACCACTGCAACTGTGATGCTGACCGCACCGAATGGTACTGTATATATACTCATATCAATGAGAGATATGCTGCTTTGAAAAAATAAGAATACTGTAGGCTACTTAACCAAATGGACTGGTAGTTCATTTTGTTTGATCTCACTTTTCTCTGTTACACTTTTTTACTTTATTGCTGGAGGAAATAGTGATGATGAATTTTCCTTTTTGCTCCCCCATCATCTCCCTTCTTCTTCCTGTTTTTTTCTTCTCCTGCTGCTGATAATGATTATCAAACTCCTTCTTATGCTCTGTCTCCTCTGTCTTATTTTTCTAGTGATGAAAGTTTATCTTTCTCCCCTCTAGTCTTAAATTCAGCTTCTTCCTCTTCTTCCGCTTCGTCCTCTACCTACCTTCCAGGGCAAATGACTCAGGCCTGCTGACCCATAAAGAAACCCTTCCTGTTAGATCTCTCGTGCTGGGTGATGTCCACAGGCCTGGCTCAGAAAGCGCCTTCAGGGTGGGGCATCTCCGTTGCCATGGAGACAGTAAGTCCAGTCCAGAGCCCTAAATGTCACCTTATATTTTTAGGTTTTGAAATGGTGTGTGTGTCATGTCGGTCTAAGCGTTAGCAACATTTGAATGCAAATAATTGTAATGTTGTAAAAGCTGAATTACAAACTCATTCCTCTGCTCTACAATTATAATTTCAAGGCCATGATTAATAGATGTTCATTTATTTGCAGAGAATGTCTGGAACGCTGCATTTTTTGACAAAGAGACATCATACCTCCACTTTCCCACATTCCACGGAGAGCTGAGTGCAGATATCTCCTTCCTGTTTAAAACCACTTCATCCTCTGGGGTCTTCCTGGAAAACCTGGGCATCAAAGACTTCATTCGGATCGAACTCAGCTGTAAGTAAAACCTTTTAGGTTAGATGTCTAATCCGGACTTCACTGAGATGTACAAGACCTGAGCATGAAGGATCATCCTGGGAGTTAAAGTTTCATCTGGCTTATACTCACCTGGAGGTGGCGGTCCTGCCTGGAACTCCACTTCAACCATAAAAAAATATACTCTTCCAGCAACAGAGCCATTATTTTTCCACCTTGGGGAAATCACTGCAGTGGCATTGTTCTAGCCCGCTCCAATACATTTCCTTTATAACAACCGGAGTTTATAGTTCTCTGTATCATTGTAGTGTTACACTTTATAGTAGCTCACAGAGTGTGTGCTGTTGTAGCTGTCCTTTATGACAACGTGAAGTTGATAAAGTGTTTTAAACTACCGCTTCTTCTATTGTAGCTGGTCTTGACAGAAACAGAAGTACAAGTAACAAGGCGCACAGATGGCTTACCTGCTTAAGCTGGTGCCCCATATGGTCCTTGCTGCAGAGGCCATGGGGTTGGGTCAGATCTGTGGCCCTTTGCTGTGTGTCATCCCCTCTCTCTACCCCCCTTTCCTGTCTATCTTCAGCTGCCCTATGTAATACAGAAAAAAAGCAAAGACAACATTAAAAATAAATATAAAGGAAGTAGTAACTCTTTATGATTCCTGTATAATACTATAGAATATATCCACACATGAAACTAGGTTTTGCGAAGGCTTTACGGCTGGTGACAAACGTGTGTTTCATGACCCACAAATGAAAAAAAAAAAATTTGCAATGACAATTTGTTCACAAATGCATTTGTAGTCCACAAATACTTTTCAAGTTCATGAATCTAAAAACATTTGTTTTTGAAAGCTTGCTGTGCATATAAATGTCTAAAACCTTTTTTTTTTTTTTTTTTTGCATTTATTTATATTTTATTTTGTTGAATGTGTGTGCATAGATCATCTGACACATTGATTGGTCTGATCCACAAAGGCAGTGAGTTGTATTTATTTATTAAATTGTTTACACTTGTTTCACAAATTGGTTGGTATCTGTTTGTAGATTGTAATCAAATCAAATCTTGTTTTTATCTGTTGATTATGATTCACACATTTGTCACAGAACAGAGAATCATTTCTCTCCATATACCCAGCAGGAAACTGGTTCCCTCGAGCTTGTGCCCACACTGAATGTAGCTACTCATTATATTAAAGGGTTTTGCATCTTTAAGTTGCGCTTTATCTTTGTAGTTGGTTGTCAGTTTAGCTGTCCAGGAGTCATTGTAACTGGTTGCTATGGCAACTGCTCTGTAGTGTCACATCCTTGTGAGCTGCTGGTGTCAGTTTGTGTTTGCTTCACTTTAGTGATAAATTACTTTAATGTGAATATCAAAGTTTCAGTAGAGCTCATGTGTCACAAAAACACTTCTTATTCTTCCTTCCACAGGTGGTGTAACTGTCACAAGGAATAGGGGCTTCAGAGTTAGCCTGGCCATTGGTAAAAGGGTAACAAGACAAAGAAAAGTGACAAGAGGGGTTTGAGGGGGAAGAAAGGCCCTTTATAGTCTTGCAATCAATGACTAAACCACACAGGTTCAGCATGTTTGAAACAGGGCAGTGTGCTTTTGTTGGTAACAATTGTGTGCCAATTTGGGACATAGGGCAACGTTTTTGGTGATTTGACTGAGCTATGAAGAAGGTACTGCTGTTTTGTATTTTTTGTCCTTTTTCTTGAGCTTGTACATACTGTATTCATGCCTGAGCACACCTTTTTGAGTGTGTGTGTGTGTGTGTGTGTGTGTGTGTGTGTGTGTGTGTGTGTGTGTGTGTGTGTGGCACTGGCCAACATCTGGATGGAAGAACTGGCTGTAGGGAGATACAGAAGACAAGAGGAGTGAGACATTGTTGAATATGTACAGTAAGTCTTGATTTTCTTCCTTCCCTGACGCAGCCTCCACTGAGGTCCTCTTCTCCTTTGACGTGGGTAACGGTCCGTTGGAGGTTCATGTGAAGTCTGGCGTCCCACTGGATGACAACAGGTGGCATCGCATTCGAGCCGAGCGCAACGTTAAAGAGGCATCCCTTCGCCTTGACGAGCTCCCTGCTGCCACGCAGGAGGCGCCTGCTGATGGGCACATCCACCTGCAGCTCAACAGCCAGTTATTTATAGGTGTGTGTGTGTGTGTGTGTGTGTGTGTGTGTGTGTGTGTGTGTGTGACAAGGCTGCTGCACAGATTACAATTTAAAGGTGCCTTTTAAAGAGCTCAGCAAAGATTAAAAAAAAATACAACATTCACACCAACGATTTCTGTTGGGAAGACACATTTATGCTAACCTTTCTGCTGTGAGAACCATGTGGTATCTCACATTAATGTGGAGTGTTAGTGACTTTTCTTTGTATACCTGAGGACCTCTTGAATCATTACAATATGCTCTGTTTCTGGCTTCCTCTCCCCTTTTACTCACTCTGTATCCTTCTCTTTTTCCCACATACCACACACACACACCAAAAAACAATTACGGTACTGTACGTTTTCATTGACCCCAGGGAGGCTGGTGGTTTTACATCTTTGTCTCCTCCGCTCCTCCTGAAAAAAGCAGATAGTGACAGAGACTAAGCCCTTCAGCAAAACTCTGCACTAAAGCTCTGCTTCCCATCCAGTACAGGGAACAGATTGCAGTGCTGTCTAGTTATTGATCCACATTGAAACTGACAGCTTAAAGCGATCAATCATCCTATAACGATCTTTGTTTCTAAATCTTAACAATGTAAGGTATACAGGCAGGAGTTTATGGACACAATTCCTTTATATACACCTAATAGACTATCCGGAAAATCCTCAGAAATTGATAGAAATATCCCGTAGACGATGCAGTGGAAAGTTGCGTTTGTAGTGGTCATTTTCCTTGCGGTAACCTTGGTACAGTGTTTGAACCCATTAGTTAAGGTAGTCCTTTCCTGACAGCTTCTGATGAAACTCCGGGCCCTGATATAAACCTCATCAACTCTGCAGTCCTGGAAAGCTGTTTATCGCATCATAACAGTCTTGAGGTTGCCAGTTTGGCACTCTGAGACAATTATAATGTTGCAGAGCCTGAACTCTGAGGACAGTTGGAGGTGGTAATGCAAGAAGTCGGAAAACAATAACTTTCAGGGTTTCAATTCTGTCCTAGAAAGAGGAAAGAAAATGTTCTCCTGTCACATTCAGTCAACCAGGCAGGAAAAGCAGGCTGTCACATAGATTGACAGCTTGCCAACTTTCCAGATATCAACAATCCGCATGGTGCTCGGCTGGCACACAGCCAGTAAAAAAGTCAACTCTTTGAATTTTTCACCTGCCAGTTTATGTTTCACTGTGTTTCATCACCCCATCATTTTAAAAATTCAGTAAGAGGGTGGTGACCAATTTTGTGGAGGTGCAGAGTATGTTCAGCAGTTAATATTAAAATCAGGTATCAGTCAGTCAGTCTCCAATTTGATCAGAGACATGATATGATTTGACCTCTTAGTTTCTGTACACTGTAGACTTTATTTTGATAAAGTTACCATTTATGAGGCACGGAGGGAAAAAGGTACAGTAGGAAAAATACATTAAAAAGCGTGACACCCTACACTATGCTTTGGTTGACTGGTCTGCAGTGATATAAAGTAGTCATGATTTGTAGCTAAAATGTAAAAACACGCTATAATGTTTCTCCTGCCTAAAAGAACATTGTTGTGGGTTTCACAATTATATTGTCCAAAAATCTAAATGTTTTAAACTCATTCCACCCACTCCTCCATTAGATTCTGGGAGGAACATAAAGTAAAATGTCCATGAATTGTCACAGTTACAGTAGATATTGAATGGCCCTATTTAACAAAATATTGGCACTCAAAGCATCAGCCTTCGAAATCTTTTTTTTTTGTGCATGAGCAGCACAATATGTGTACTGCTAACGGGATCAGCAAGTAATCAATTAGTTTTTTTTAGTTAATAAATTCATCTGAAACAGTATTGATAATTGACACACTTGTGCAAGCTGAGTTACTGAACATGAGGAATGGAACCTTAAGGCAGAGCAGGAACACTTCAGATGCTTTATTTGCAAAAAAGTGATGAAACATAAATTTACAAATCCATGAGAGAGCAGTCCAAATCATTCAAAGCAAAATATGCAGGCAAAATCCAATAAGTCCAACAAGGAGGAAACACGAAGGAGCAGGCAGAAAGCTACACATCTGAACAAGGATGAAGTAGTAATGATACAACAAAGAAAAGGACAAAATACACAAAACAATCAAAACTGTAGGGAACAGACAGAAAGTTAAGTAAAGTAAGACACAAGGAAAATTACAAAACAGGAAACAAGCAAACCAAACCCAAAATCATGACAATAATATTTATATTCAAGTCATATTTATCAGTATTTTACATTTTCTGATTCCAGTTTCTCAAATGTGAGGAATTACCTCTTTCTGTGTTTTATATCAGTATCGTTGTTTTTCGAACAGTTGGTCGGACAAAACAAGCTATTTTAATACATCTATATTACCTTTGGACGTCTGTGAAGTGCATTGTTAAAAGACTAAATGATGTAGTGTAGCTTTTGTAGAAATGAAAAGAAAAAGAAAAGGAGTGTGGAAAAGATGCCTTCCAGCATGCTGAAGTTGATCCCTTGTGTGTGTCTTCAGGAGGCACAGCGTCCAGACAGAAGGGCTTTCGGGGTTGTATTCGCTCTCTGCAGCTGAATGGCGTCACCCTGGACCTGGAGGAGAGAGCGAAGATCACCCCCGGGGTTCAGCCGGGATGTCCAGGCCACTGCAGCAGCTATGGCTCTCTCTGCCAGAACCAGGGTCGCTGTGTGGAGAGACCCAACAGCTTTTCCTGCGACTGCAGTCCGTCTGCCTACAACGGAGCCTTCTGCGACAGAGGTACACAGGCTTTGCACCAATCTCCCAGCAACACCTGGTGCCATCATGTAGACACACTCCAGAATAAGCTACATGTGTGTGCATAAAATGACTTAATGCCTAACGATACAACTAAAGAAACACTACAGTTAACCTCAAAAGATTCAAGTTCTGATAAAGCAGATTAGTCCTCAGCTCCTTGGAAGGTCTAATGGAAAGCTACATGTTGTAATGTGAGAGCTCAGTGAACTCAACCATTTTTAGCTTTGTTAGTTATTAATCCAAAAGCTATAATTAATCCTAGCTCCAGTTAGATTTGTATTATGCACCTAAATCTCCAAATCTGTACAATTAATAGTTTCAAACCTTCAACAGTGAGCTGGTGGGAAATGCTGGGAATTTTGGGACCCTATCAAAATGAAATTCAACGTACCAATGTTTAATCCCTTAATATCAAAAGTAGGAGAAACTGGGCGCCCGGTTAGCTCAGTGGGTAGAGCTGCCCCTTGCTGTGCTATCTTATCTTTCCAACTCTTCAGCTGTACATCATTTTATATATTATATTTCCCCCAAATTTACCCTGACATATTTGATATCTTTGGAAACATCAGGTTCTTCACACAAATTCAAAATAAAGTTCTGTGGGTTTGAACTATTTCAATTCAACTGATTTATTATTTGTCCCAAGTAGACAATTTCAGCAAGTATATAAGTACATAACAAAACAACATAGAAACAAACTGCTATTGGCATGAACATTTAGTCGTTTGAGTCATTTGAGTGTCCAAAATAACCCCACATGGTCTATAATAGTATTATGAGCATTGAATATTGTAAACATCACCAAGTAATATAACCTTTCCTAATGTGATATACATCACCGTCATCAACAGAACATTAATCATTTCTGGACAGATCAACACTACGCATGGGTTTGTACTGACAGGCGGAGGAGGGTCAGTGAGGTTTAGTTTAGACTTATTTTATGTATTTTGGGGGGCTTGTCTCCCTTTATTAGAGAGGACAGCTTAAGAGATGAAAGCATCAGGGGTTAAATAATCAGTTCCTGGTTAAATGCAGCACTGCGCCATGAAGACTCAGTCCTCAGACCTCCAACATGGCTGTCTAAAAACATGCTACAGTGCAGCACCTGAAAGTTATATGAAAGTCTATAAATAAAACACACACACACTCTTAGAGATACAAGGAGGGACCATACACATTAAAGAGGTCACACACACACACACACACACACACATTTATACACACCTATATATATATATATATATATATATATATATATGATGCACACTGCACCACTGTGTACTCAATACATCACATACACAGCTGCTAATCATCTTGATCCTGTGGGAAACTTCATATACAGTATATCTTGAGGCCAATTATAAAGTCTGAGGTTGGCTGATAATTAATCTTGTTTTGACCTTTTTCTCCTACAATATCAGCATGCCAAAATGTTTCACATTTTTTCTAATTCATATTGTAATTACAAAATATTAGTCCACACATTTACTTTAAAATTATTCCCTATACTGATGGTGAACACTTGAGTTAATATACTGCAATAAAGCGTTCTGAAATCCTCAGTATTTAGAAGGCTGTCTCTTTTGCAAGGATTTCCTGATCACAATACATAACAATAAATACAATAAATTGTATGATACTAAAATAGAAAGCAAGAGCCGCCTGCAGACTTTTGACTAATAAATAACTAATTGGACTAAATAAAGTATTAACAATGTTTCTGTTTCTTGTCTTATTGTGTGTTAAGTCACTGGTTGGTCAGCCTGATGGAGACATCCTTGCAGAATGTTGTTGCTAATGCATCGCATAAAGTTGTCTTAAGACTGCACACTTAGACTTACTTACACCTATTTATCACAGGGACACTGAGTCATCATATCAGCACAGAAACACAGCCTCATACGCATTCAATAATTAACAAGCCCAGCTGTGTTGTCTGTTAAAGCTCCACAGGTATAGCTGCGACGGAAATCACAGCTCTATACACGCCCGTGTTATAATTAGCAGCTAAATTTTGTATTGTTCTTTTCACCTGTCAGCAGGTTTTCTTGAGCTCACTAATTAGCTGTTCAGTGCTGCTGAGGCATGTACACAGTATATGAATCAGTCCAATGCGGGATTAGTTGTTACTTTGATGCAGTGTGAAGACATACAGTATATACTACTTATTAAAATTGAAATGCAAATCATGCTGTCAATGTTGATGTGGCAAAGTGAATTGCTAAGTGCATGTATGTACCAAATATATAAGTTATTGAGCCTAATTACCAGGCAAACTGTAAACCAAACTTTCACTTTAGTTAAACTCAGCTTTTTTACATCCAATTTCAGAAATGCACATCCCACACGTACAACATAACTGCTTACCAAATGCCAAATGTTTGCAAATTTTATAAATTAACTTTTGGACATTATCTTGCTCCCTGCAGAGGTTTCAGCCAGCTTCAAGTTGGGAACTTCAGTCAGCTACACCCTAAAGGAGCCGCTGTCGAACAAGCTGAACAGAAGCAGCAGCACCCTGCCCTCCTCCATCTACTCTGACATGACCCTGAGAGCAGAAAACGTCTCTCTGAGCTTCAGGACCAGCCAGAGTCCCGCTCTGCTCCTCTACGTTGACTCCTACCACAGAGAGTACCTGGCTCTGCTGCTCAACAAGCATGGTAAGTGCTCTGTCGTGTTTGATCATTTGGCTTGACCTTTATCATCATCATGAGGGTAATCTTCTCTGTCTGTCCACTGACTGAAGGAGGCTTTTGTTTCTTTCTCTATTTTACACTGTAAACAAGCTCCACAGCTTTTGGAACTTGCCTTGTTATTTTTGCTCTTGTCTGCTTTGCTGGATTTCACTGGATGGCCCTGTATGTTCCAGTATGGCATCAGCATTGATGGTGCATGGTTATCTCACAATTAGGGTTTTAGTTTCCACAATTTATGTGTTCGTGGCTCTATAGATCCTTTGAATCAGCATGAAAGAGAAATATGGTGACGTATGAAAACTTTCCGATTTGTTTTGATCTGTGTTGCGTAGTTGTGATGCTTGGCAGAAAGGGGTAATGTAAAGCCTCTTAACTTTAGGATAATGAACTTACATTAACTCAAAATGTAGTAATGCATGTAACAAAATGTGGTAACATAAAGAGACTAATGCCACATGAAAGGACCGGTGTTTTCTATTATTTTGTCCACAAGTAAAATGCACTTCGGGCAAGTAGATTTCTGACCAACTTGCATGAAGTCAATGTTTTCTTGGCCGTATACAAATTGTTTTATTTACTAGCGGTATTCAACTAACCTCCTTGCTGTCAGCTCTTGTTATGGCACTCCAACAATGTTTTTCAGAAATGTAACATGCCTTTGAAAGACATGACATAATTTTATCCACCTTGCTCTTAAATTTGTGGCAAACTGCACCATATATAGTTGAAGTCACCCACATCTTCTAACGCCACTTAACTAAACTCCTGTTTCCAGGATAATTGAAATGCTCACTTGCTCTTGAGCCCATAAACTTTTTTTTTACCCAACAACACTTTCTTGTGAGTGCCCTTTTTGCCCAAAGTGGCATTTCACCACCAGCAAGCAGCAATCCTTGTTGCTGAGCCCTGATTATGAATCAGCTATGACAATATATTCCTGTTGATCAACAATACACTGAAGGCACTGTTATGTGCCCAGAGTCAAGACATTGTGGCTGTTTGAATGCTCTATAAGTACCTCCTCTACTGCTAGAGTAAACTTCCTGCCATCCCTCTCCTCTACTCCTGCAACTCCTCTCTGTTCTCTTTCTGCCTTTTTCGTGACTCTTTTTCTCTGGTCCACCTTTCCCCTGCTTCCAATTCACTTCTCTGTTTAATCAACTTGTCGGTAGTACAGCCAGAAGAGCAGCAAGAGGGGTCATTTGAATTGGAAAGGACAAAGAAGGCTAATAAACCTTTTACATGCAGGATTCCACCTTGCTGTGAATAGTCTGTGAACACGCTGCTTTAATAAGCCAGACCGGAGGTAGATGATGGCCAGCAGGTCATTAGAGTTACCATGATGATCAGGTAGTCGTCAGAGAGCTACATTAAAACTGAAGCACCCCATCAAAACTCAGGAACAGTTTGGTTCTGGTGATACAATTTTGTACTAACACTGTCAGCAGCTCGGTTGATGTTCTGCTTTGCTGATAGCAATAAAAGAAGCTGTGACTGCACCTGTGTAGAAGTGTCACCTTAATGTTTAAAATGGCCAAGGTGTGTACTTTTTACTGGTTTATATTTTCTTTCATAACTGTAAAGGATAGGTCTGAAGAAATTCTACACTTTTCTCAATGTAAAATCCCATGAAAAGGCCTAAACTTGATTTACTAATCCATTATGGTGAACCATAACTTCTTGTCCCACTTATCCTTTAGTTAAAGTTACATTATTGTTGTGTTGTGATGCAGCTGTGAGCACAGTTTTTGAAATTCTGCTTGTTAGTGCCTTCCTTTTACATCAAAGACTGCAAAGCTGAAAGCAATCTAGTCAGAAGCCACAAAAAGCCATATAAACCCACAATATGAATGGATATCATAAAATATATTCTTTTTATTACATTGTTTCTTTTATTAAAAAGTAGGTTCAGAGGTTGTTTTTAGCAGCTGACTCAAATTCCAAGGACCTCATTTGTCTTAAACTTTTAAACAAACGCTCATTTTGGCATAGATACATTTTTTTTGTGTGTATATTTAGACCCACTTCTGAACAGGCAGAACAAAAAAACTCCAAGTAGCATACTAATTCTCAAATTACAGATAAACTCCACTGTCTACTAATCTGTCTAATAATGGATACACTGTAAACTATCATTCCTGAAGATGCACATTTCCATTTTTGTTTAGAAAACAAGGTAATCAATGTCTCTACTTCCTCTTGTTTCTCTACTGCTGCATCACTGAGCACACCTAATATAAGGATCTGTTAATGACATTAAATTGTAATCAATCTGTCTCAATAATGAACTGTTATGTTTCAGTAGCAGTAAGTTCAATTGACAGGTGTATTTTATTTTATGCTTAAACTGTTAAAAAGTGCAACAATTAAAACATATATAGAAACCAGTTCTTAATCTTCTGCAAAACAATGTGCGTCAATTAAAATTAACAGTTTGGCTTAATGTGTTTTGGGTTTTTTGTTGTTTGTTGTTGTTTTTGTTTTTTTGTCTTTTTCGGCTGCTTCCTGTAGGGGTCACCACGGTGGATCATCTGTTTTCAGTCCCCGCCCCACCTTACCCAGCATAGAGATCTCATGATCCGCATGTTTGATGTGCCATAGGCTTTTTTATGCCAGATGCCCTTCCTGACGCAAGCCTCCCTATTTGGCTTGGGACTAGCAATTAGGAATGTCTTGAGAATCCCTAGTGGCAAGGGACCAGCTTGGCTTTATATAATGTCATTTATTACTGTGATGATCTCAGGTACTCAAATTACACACTGTTAAGTGAAAAATTATGCCCTTTAAATTATTTTGATCATCATTATATATATTGTAACTTGAAAGCACAACAGAGAACCAACTGTGAACCTGAATTACTATAAACACATTGTCCTATGCTTTAGACTCACCAGATCTAACTCCCATTCTTGTAGCTAAAATGCTTCGTTTGGAAAACAATGACATGTGAATTTCAGATTTTGTTAACAACGGTTGAAAGGTGAAAAGTTCAGCCATCACCAGCTTTTCACCACCTACAAGCTTGCTGACAGTCTCTATGTCAGCTGTCAGCGCTGTGGTCACGTCCTGTGACTTGTTAATCGTGGTCATTACAGTGTGAACACACTGCAAGACTGCTTCTCGCTTTTCTCTGTCTCTTCTCCTCTAATAAGTGTGGTACAAGAGGCAAGCGTTAAGTGTTAAAAATAATTAGCAGTGTTGAAGAATGAATGCATAATGCATGATTCAAGAACGTGGGAAAACTTTCTTCTTCTTTTATTCCGCACTTCTGCTCTCACTCTTTCTCTCTCTTTCTGCTTTTTTTGTAAAGTCTTAGATTCTAGTCATATCACATCGTGGCCTCACCAGGAATACATGCATTCAAAATAAATTAATAATTAATAATAATATATATTAATAATTAATATGCATTTGCACTGTAAGATGAAAAATACGCTTTTCTTCCTTTTAATCATCCACACAGCCTGCAGTTATTACATGGTATTCATGTGAATGGAATAAAATTATCCATCTTAAGTGAAGTGAAAATCATATAAATTAACTTGATTCTGTATACCATTATTGGCATTTCAGCTTATTATTCAGCTGCTGTTGCCCTGGAACATCCAGCTCTCTTAATACATATTGATACTAAAATACATTTCTATTGAAATAGACGAAGGGTATGACGACAGATTTAGCCAAGCAAATATCTGAAGAAAACTTTACCGGTTCTGTAATTGGAAGAGTTTTAGCAATTTAAATCTGAAATGTTTCATAATTTTAGAAGTTAAAATCTTGAACATTGAAATGGACTGTATAAATTAGGAGCCATAAATGGCTAATTATATTTTGTTCATCATGTGTTAATAATTAATTAATACTGCTGTGTGCCATAAAGCCAATGAATAACTTTATGTAATATCTATATTTTTTATTATGTATCACAGAAACATTGTTTCTTTTGGGCAACAGGATTTTCTTAAATGATAAAAGGCTTTTGTGTTTGACAGATTTAATTTAAAAGCTTTATTTGTTCATTGTGAAGTCCTGTCTTTTTCACACAGTAAGATCCCCGTGTGGGTTTTGTTTTTTGTTTTGTATCTGTGCAGACAAGCTGGAGGTGAGATACAGACTAGACGGCAGTAAAGATGCCGAGATCCTGACGAGCAAAGTGAGGAACCTCGCCAACGGACAGCTGCATGCTGTTACCATCAGCAGACTGGCAGATGCTGTCTCTGTGCAGGTAACGTATACACAACAGACTGAAATATTCCTCTCAGTTAGCACTAAATCCTGAGTCTCCCTTGCTCAGCATCCTCTCTGTCAGTCCATATCAGGGACCAGTGGGAGAAACTAGAAGAAGACAGCAGGGACGAGCTGCAGGAAACGCTCACAGATAATAATGTCTTAGCTGCATTGAAACATGTTGGTGGCAGCTCGGAAACGCAGGGGTTTTTCTCACGCATTCTGCTAGCTTTGGGTCAGGTTTTCAGGTCCTGTTTAATACATTAACCTCGGGGCACATGACTAAAATACATAATCTTTGCTTGATGATGATGTTGCACTTGCTATACTGATGATACACAGGTGTACCTTTAACTGTGTTCCCACGCACTAATTATCACAGATGGATCCTTCACTGTTTTCATGGCCTTTGAATTCAAATATCACAGCTCAGGGCAGAGTAACAGCTACCTTATTCCAACAACTTCTCAAAATCAAATGACAAGACTTGTTGACATGATGGTTTGGGTTATATAAGTTACCATTTACCAAAGGTGACCATTGTCGGCATGGCTACAATAATAAACACATGGTTACAGTTATGGAACGGTCGTGGTCAATGTTGACTGATGGTTGGAGACAAACAGTAGTATCCCATATTAAAGTTGGGTGTGATGTCCCTTGACTTCCTATCATAATCAATACAGTCACTCCACTTGTTGACTGTTGTGTGACACTGGCTGAAACCACTGATATGGTCGACAAGTCTCATTAAGTAATTCATTAATTTCAGGTCCTTAGATTAAAATTCTACAACACAAACAAAGCTTTGTGTTGTATGGTTGTTTTTTCAGTCTCAGATAAACATGTACCAAGTTGTGCAATAATGAAGAAATCACAAAAACTAAAGCTATGTATTCTTTGAAGTATTCACTTTCTGGTGATGTCAAGGTTTTTTTTTTCAAAAGCTACTTTTTAAGTGGAACCTTTCATTTTCTTTTAGGTTGACCAGAACACGAAAGAGGACTTCAACCTGACATCTGATGTAGAATTCAATGCCATCAGGTCGCTGGTCCTTGGCAGAGTGCATAGTAAGTGAGACGGTTACTAAAACCCAGACAAGACCTTTTCAGACTGCAGAGCACTCAGACACACATTTCATTTCAAAGATGTTCTACTTTATCAGACAATGAGGTATTGGAAACTTTCATCATCATGATGGTTGTATCCTCTTAACAGCTGCTGTCCAGAGGATTAAGCAGGCAAAGAACAAACAGAGTAAAAAATATACATGTATGGCACTCAGCACCAAGATGGGACATTATTTAGGTCTCTTGTTCTTGGCAGAGTGCACTCAAACTACTTGGGGTGACATATTTAAAGACTGCTAGAATTAGGCCGAGTATATTTACTTTTCAAATAGGCATTTCTCTGCTTGATTGTGCTCTGCTGTGTTGGTTATTGTCAACTGTTTGGTAGCATGTTACATTGCAGCTCGGTAACAGCAAGGTAAAAGTGGGGTCTACTTTAATAATAAAAGTAATAACCAGCTAACAGCTTTGTATTAACAATGGGTAATATTAAATCTGGGTAATATTAGACTGAAATTCATGTAACAGGGTAATTAGGGCCAAAATAATGGAGCAACACTATTTAGTAATATAGTAATATCTTGGTAACAATATGGTATCCTGCTAATAAAACGGTTATATTTCTGAAACGTTTAAATTAAAATGGTAATATGGTGATATTAATGGGTTAATAAACTGATAATAATGGGGTAATATAGGTTGATGTTTTCACAATGTTGTAGGCTACTATCAGCGTAATACCTTCAAAATCACATGAAAATTCTTGAAATTCAAAATTGGTAATCACCATATTATAATTCTGAAATCGATTCTTCCCTTAGTTTCCAAATTTCCTTCCCCTTTATTTTCAAGGTAACACTGTACGAATTATTATTATACATGTAATGTTGTGATTTGACCTGTTTCACTACTTTTAACTAAACACATTGGATACTGTTGATTCCTCTTTAAACTTCAAAGGAATGCCTTTTATGAATATGTATTTTTTTATTGTCTACCTTACATAACGTGAATGAATGATCTGGATACAAGCAAACAGCCAAATAACAGCAATTTAGGTAATTATTATGCCTCTTTACCATGAAATTGAATGCAGTCTATCTATGTGCGGCTTCGTGGCCTTCAAACAATATTTCACAAACAGAACTACTTGCAGCTAATGCAGGATTTCATATAGTACATAATAAAAGTGCTCTTGTTACAAGTAGAGATAACCACGATGTATTGCCACAACATTGCTCTGGATATGCCACCGTAATGCCACTTGTGCCGACCACAGAGCAATATTAAGGCCAGTGCTCATTATGTGCTGTAGTGTAAGCTCAACAACTTTTCAAACTTTCCAGACAGGGCACTCATACTGCTAGACATATGAAAGCCATAACACCTTGTTCTCTTGCGAGGTTATGGGTGCTTCGACAATGCAATGACTCTTTCACCTCATACATATTGCATCTTCTTTGTCCAATCTGGTACCTCTTGGGTAGGCTGGGAACATTGCAGTATTATTTGTTCTAGAAAGCTGTATTGGTGAACAGTTGGACAATCAAGCTTTTGCCTTTTGATTCTCCCTGCTCAAACACGGACAAAAATACACATGAAGTTGCTCCAAAAAACAGTTTGAAGACTGTTTGGAGGAGAAAAAAGCTGATACTGATGATTAGGCCACTGGATTAAATTAAATCCAACTAGACCAGGGAGTGGGCCTGAACAGTTTAACCTTTCTCAGCATGAAAGACCATTTCACCAAAAGCTCTGCTCTTGTTTTCTTTCTACCTGGTGTGCCTGTTTAACAGATAAGACACCTAACAGAGACATAGCACCACTGTAATTTACTTTGTCATGACCTAGTTATGTTCTTTTTGAGCTGCGCCTTCAGAGACAGACTAAGAAATAGCTTGTTAATACGATGAGAGGCTGTGGGACTTCCCAGACCCAGGTGTAGCACTGCCACTGCAAACCCACTATAAAAAGTGATCCCTATCTTTATAAGCATAGTTTGATTCAGTCATTGATATATGGGTTGTAAGTTAAACGAGTACAAAATGTTTATAAATGTTATATCTAGGGAAGGTCTGTGTGATTGTTTTCCATCTAAATCCAAAGATTTTTAAAAATACTAATAAACTAAACTAAATTATCCTGTGTCTCTCTCTTTCTCTCCAGACTCTGGGGAGTTAGACCCGGAGTTGTCTCGGCTTGCCACTCTGGGTTTCACGGGATGTCTGTCTGCTGTTCTCTTTAACTCCATCAGTCCTCTGAAAGCTGCTCTGCTCCACCCAGGCACCAGTCCTGTCACTGTTACCGGCCCACTGGTCCAGTCCATTTGTGGCTCCACTTCAGCCAATCCCTACGCAGCAGAAACCACACACCACCTATCAGGTCAGAAGAAACTTCTTTCGTTTCCTTTACTGGTATTGATAGCACCTTAGTAGACTCATGAGCCAGTCTCTAAACACTCATGAGACTGCGGACTTTGATTGATAAAACTGGTTGAAAACAATTAGAGAGTTTAAAAAAACCTGCATTCCAGAAACAGTGTTTATGGTTGTGACCTCGCTGGACTTTTTTAACACTTTAAAAAACGTTCTCTTTGTTACAAAGGGCTTCAGTATATCTCTAGTTTGTTCCACTATGGAGGAGAATGGGGGGAGAACATCATTTCAATCAAGGCGTGTCCTTGAAGTAAGGGGCATATGTTTGTTAGTAGCCGTTCTCGCCACCATCCAAACAACTACTTTGCATTTACAAATCCCCAGACAATTGGTTGGCGCTGAGAGCTCCGATTGTCTGGTATCACTAGACAACCACCTTAGGCACCATTTACACTTGTCATTTCAAGTGTCTCATATACAGATCCGATTTATTACACTGTCATTGACATTTGGCCACATTTCTGCATCTTCTTTGTTTTCCTTAGCTAAATGCAAATTAGGGAAACCTGGAGAGTAGTGGTAATTCCCCTGGAGCTGTTTGGGAACCGCTCAAAACAGCAGAAGAATAGCTCATGTACTTTAGCAGTTAAGTTACAACAGCTGTTTTTTTACACTTTCTGAGTGGAATACAATCTTAACTGTATAGTTTGACCTCCAGAATGTTGAATGCTCTTCTTGAATGGTATATAACCAATGCTATGTTTGCTTGTTAAGAAGAAAATAACTTGTATCAATGTTCATAATCTATTGTACATGATGTGCTCCAGTCAGTAGTGCACGGCAGAGGTTGTAAGTGCTTCTGCTCTCAAATATCCGTCAGTTGCTGCTATAGGAAACGCAGACTCAGAGGCTTAAGACTTGGACTCTGTTTGCTCAGATCTGTCCAGAAATTGTGTTATCCTCTTTTAAACAATGGGAATATTACCATACAATAGTTGCAGCAGCATCATAGTTTATTTTAACACACACACAGGGTAAGGAGAGTTTAATATTGACTCAGCTTATTTTCTTTTTCTTTTTTTTTTTTACAACAGGAAATCTGTCTTTTAATGTGTGTCTTGTGGAAAACTATCCAAACTCACTTTTTGACTGCAGACTATCAAGTATAAAAAAGCTGTGCCATACCGTACACACACAAAAAAACGAAGGAATGGATGAAGGAATGATAAACATGGAAATCATGGATAACAATAGATTGGAAATCAATCTAAAGCTGATCCTTTGGAGAACTTAATTAATTTAATAAAACCATAGACTGCATAATAAAACAGATTTGTAGTTTAAGAAGGGGTGTGTTTGGAGGCATGTTTCCTGGACGGAGATCTCTCTTAGCTGAGGCTGGTGCAGCTTTTTGCAAAAAAAAATAGTATTTTCCGATTTAATAGGTGAGAAGATAGTGTCCAGCAAGTAGCAAACCTGAAACCTTATGGGTGTCCTCAGAGACATTAGAGCCCCATATTGAAGGTGTATGTCTACAATCACAGCACCCTCTTTCTCAAGGGGCTCAAATTAATAAATACTATTGAAGTTATCGTAGGTGGACTTTACAATGGGACCTTTGGATCTCTAATAATGTAATGGCACTGGGTTAATGGCCACTAGATGAGGCAATTAGTTCATACCAGGGAAAAGAGTTTCCTTTTCCATATCTTCCCCTGTGGTCACTCATACAGAGAATTGTGTGAAGATGTTCTTTAGTATCCAATAAGCATTATCTGCACTGATGGTAGGCCTATATATGATTCCTGTTTGCCTCCTCTGAGCATCCCTGTGCAGTACATCTCTCCATTTATTTTTTTTCATGTAATGAATGACTTCCTTGCTCCTCTCTGTTTACTTTCATCTCTTCTTTTTATTTCTCGTCACTCTTTTTATTCCCCTGTGATCCTTCCTCTGCATCTGTTCTCTCTTCTCCTCCATTCCTCCCTTCATTTCTGCGTCTCTTTCTCTGCTTTCTATTTCTTCGGTCTCTCTGTGCTGCAGGTCAGTCTGGATCAGTGGGAACAGGTCAACCTTTAGTGAATGCCATCAGGAGTGACTCAGCTTTAATTGGAGGTACTGTAGCAGCAATGTTTTTTCACTGTCACTGCCATTATCATCAATCAGTATCAGTTACGATACAGTTTGAAACCTGTGTTCCTACCAGGTTCTTTTATACCAACAAATATTACAAATTTGAATTTGAATGAAATTTTAGTTTTTTAAATTTGTGTAGACCTTTACTTTGTTTTTAAATATGGTTGTCAGGCAGGAGCGTTATCATAAAATTTGCATGCTGTGTAGCTGTTTAACTGAAAGCCCTGAGTTGTCCCTCATCAGCATGACTTTTTCTGAGCACACAAAGGAAACCAGAACTAATTAGAATACAAATGACTTTATATTCCAAGTAAAACAACCATACATTTTTTTATTGCTAACATCAGTGTCGAGACCTTTTAATAGCTGAAATTGCCTGGGGAGCCTGGAGAAAATGAGCTGACTGCACCGCTAATGATAGAGCAAAAGCAATCTAATGTTTTCTCTCTGCCTGTTGGGCCACTGACCAATTGCTTTTGAGGAGTTTTGTAATGTAATGTTTCATCTCCAATTTGCTTTTGTTAGAAAACAGAGCTTATAAAATCAAGATCACTCATCAATACTAATCTGCTAACCTGCATGCTTAAATATCAAAATCTAAATGTACCAAATCTGAATGTTTATGCTGAAATTAGCATGCTGTCATCTGAAACACAGATACAAGATGTCTGAATGTGAAGGGAATTTTATAGCTACTATCTACTTACCTGCGTAAGGAAAACTCAATTTCCAAAATAAACATTACTTTTTATTCTTGCTTGAAATAGATGCAGTAAAACCTTTTAAAACGGCACATGCCATTATATTACATTCATTGTGTGGTGAGGCTTTTATTTTCACATGTAATTCACCTCACCATTATCATTAACTGCAATTATTACACTGATTTCCTACCAGGCTGATTTTCTAGTGAAGTCATACAGTTCAGGATAACCAGGAATCTCAACATTTTGCTCCATGAAGTCATGTGAATTTCTAGTTGAAATGTATTCAATGGGTGAAATGAACACTTGGTGGTGCAGTGGTTAGCACTGTCGCATTACAGCAAGAAGATTCCAGGTTTGAACCTGCCCACTGGGACCTTTCTGTTTGCTTGTTGTCCCTGTAAGCGTGAGTTTCCTCCCAGTGCTCTGGCTTCCTCCAAAAGCATGCAGGTTAATTGTTGGCTGAATTGCCCATAGGTGTGAATGTGAGTGTGAATGGTTGTTTGCCTGTGACCTATCCAGGGTGTGTCGCCTCTCACCAAATGTCAGCTGGGGATCAGCACCCTGCAATCCTGCAAAAGGATAAGCAGTTATAGATAAGTGGTGGTAAAATGAATGCAGCAACATACAGAGAAATCCTTCAGGAAAACCTGTAGGTCTGTGTGAGAAGACAACAATCCCTAAACAAACAACAGCCAAAACAATATCTCAATCGAATCCAGAAATGACAGGACTTTAGAATTGCTGTTCACTCACAGTACTCAGGAAAGTTGCCAGACCTTGAGCAGTTTTGCAAAGAAGAATAGGGAAAAACTTACTGATGTGTAAAGCTGATACAGATCAATCCACACAGACCTACGCAGGATGCCTACACTAAATATTGACGTAAAGGGGTACATCTGTTAGGTTTGGTAGGACTGTGGACCGGGGTGCGGATACAGAACACTCGAGGCAGGTTAAGGTCAAGAGTTTATTCACAAAGAACTGAGTAACAAGTAGAACTGTGTGGAAAACAGTGAGGTGAAAGCAAGGGCAGATAGTCCTGGACAGTGGCAACCACGCTCCAAAAAGACCCTCCGGGCAGCACAAAAAGCGCTCCGGGTGCAGGAATCTTGAAAAGGGGAAAAACACAAAGCATTAGTCCTGGTCCAGACAGAGAAACTCACTCGAAACAAACCAAAAAACTCAAGAGACTAAATTGGCCTGAAGTACTCAACCATGAGAAGGTAAGGAATAATCTGGCAACAACTCTCAGGAAGCCCCACATCATGAAGCCAGGCGCTGATGAGGATTGGCAGCAGGTGTGCAACTCCACCAGGTGATCAGCTTACTGCCAGGCATAACCCACCCACACACAGAACACTACAGGAGAAAGGAAAACACCCCCAAGTGTCACAGCACCAACTGTGACAACGTCCTTGCAGTCAGTTTTGTGTTTGTAATGTATCTAATTTAGGCAATTTTGTATATGTTTTGCAGTAATAAATTTGATTTGCTTTGTTTTACTGGTTGGTCCTCGCTCTTTAAAGTCTCTAACATAGGTCTAAAATGTGAGTACAGAAGGTCCACATTTCCAATGCTGAACCGCTGTAACTTTTGCAATTTCTCTTCCTTGCAATTTTATTTCCTTGCAATTTCTCTTCCTTGCAGGTGTGATAGCAGTGGTGATCTTTGTGACCGTGTCTGCGTCAGCCATAATGGCCCGAATCTTCTACAGGAGGAAAGGGACATGCCAGAGCCAGGATGTAAAAACAGTAAAACCTGAAGACAGCCCGGAGCTGGCCTTCAGCGGCTCACAGAACGGTCCGAGCGAAAACCAGAAAGAGTACTTTATTTAGGCGGAGGTTTGATCTCCTGCTAACCCAGGAGTGTTGGAGCTGAGGAGATGGACAGACAGAGATGCCTTGTCAAGCCTCAGTGCTTTACACTACAGACTGAGCCCAAGCAGTGACTTTACAAGAAAGGAAGACACAAACAGAACTATTCACTCATGTTCTGTCTTCTTTGGTTGTGTTTTGTTTTTGCTTCTGTGGTTGTATTTTTGTAAAGACTGTATAAAGATGCCCAAGAAGAAAGTGTTGAATTTATAATATGTCAATACTCTCAGTAGAAGAATTGTAAATATTTAATGATGTAAATCTTACAATGATGACTTTATATCAACCAGTCCTTTCTCTGTCCTATTGAAATGTTTGAAATGATTAAATGGGGAACTGTATTTTTCATGGAACTGTTGGAATGAAAGTTACAACAGCTTTGTTGGGTTTGGGGTCATTTAAATACATTTTCTGACATGGATAATGTCTGAAAATAGATGGAATTGTGACATAATTAAGTGAGTCTAGTTAATTAAATTTACAGTTGTTTTCATGGTTTTTGTTGTTTTGTTTGTTTGCTCCTACTGTATGACCTGTGGGTAAGCAAAATGTGTCAGTTGACATTGAACATTTTCCATTTTCTCAGTCTTCTCTTAAAGTCTCTGCATTTTATTCGCCATGATTCTCTTTCATTACATTACAGCTTGAAGCAAAGCTTAGCTGATATATTATTTTTATATTTATTTTGAATTGATATCTTCTTTCTGTGCCTTTCCTGCTTCCAACTCTCAGTGTAGTTCTGAATAGTTAAGGTATTGTGACAGACACAGTTGCTGTTTTTATTGTGGACTACCACGATATTCCAGCCTTTCTGTACCCAACATCATTCCAACTAAAACATTTTATTTGTCAAATTTTCCGAGAAGCAAAACATATAGGAAAGTGTGAAAATAAAAATCATGTAGTTTAAGCTGAAGGAGAGCAAAGGATTTCATTGAAACTGACTGTACTCATTCAGGTGTTATTCAGATCTAACCGGTCGAGCAACCAAACAGACACAAAGTAAGAATCAATGTGTGTTTCTGCTAGATTTTTTTTTCAAGTATATTTTTTGGGCTTTTATTGCCTTTATTATAGTGACAGCTGAAGACAGACAGGAAAGGGGGGCAGAGAGTGGGGATGACACGGAGCAAAGGGCTGCAGGTCGGATTCAAACCCTGGGCCGCTGTAGCAAGGACTCAGCCTCCGTACATGGGCGCCCGTGTTTCTGCTAGATTTTAAGCAAAGGACTGGATGTTTAAGTTTGAAAATGTTTTTATGAATTGTATTATTGATATAAGGCACATCTTCATCACAGGGTTCATTGCAGGAACACTTTCATAGTGAGGTAAAAATCTTCATAAAATGCCCCAAATAGTCAATAAACTGCCAATTGAACAAACCTGATGTCTAAAAGTTGAAAAATAAGTAACGTGATGAATATCTTAACCATTCTAGCATGGTATGCCTGGAAGGGAGACAGGGAATGCTTAGCTTTCTACCAATCCACCATACAAACATGCTCTGAATATAAAAACCAGTAATATGATCAGCTTCAGCCTGGTGGTGCAGTACATTATGACAAAGCCCTATCATCTGTAAAACTAATACATACACAAAGTGAGGAGCTGCTTTATACAGTGTGAACAGTACTGTTACTGAATGTCACTTTACATTTCTGGTTTAGGTGGAAGAGGTTCTCTTCTGGCTGTACATCACTTTAAAACTATAACAACATAATGATCTTGACAGTATGATGGGTAATTACAATTAATTGACTTTCTGTAAGATTTTAACTTGTACAGATATTTTAGTAAGAAACACAATTCTGTTCAGTGAAAATAAAACATTTTATCTTTTTCTGAGGCGGGCTTGTCTTTCCTTTCAGTTGAATTACAGTCCTGCACTTTTACTGCTCCATTAGGTTTTTTGTTCAGATTTTTTCAATAGCCTCTATTGTAAAAGCAGAGTCTTTGTCAAATGATACAAAGGACTGAATCAATAAACATGAAATTTTTAGGTCGATCAATGAACACCTTTGAAACACCTGAATAAAAGCAAAATCACTTGAGGTTTAGAAAAGTTAAATGAAGCTGAAACACAGAAAATGTGATTACCATACATTTACATCTGCACGTTTGGCCCTTTAAAATTTGCTATTGGATTGTTTTTTTTCTTCACCATGTGACATTTCTGATGGATAATAATATGCATCTGTCTGCTGAGCGGAGATAACTTCACCGTCTGCTGCTTTGTGAAGCATTCAGGTGCTATAGATGTCAGGCCAATTCTTGTCACAGATCCACCTCACCTTTCTCTGTGCTGAAATAATAACACACAGGACACAGAGCTATGAGATGTGATGGGGCCTCCCACCACATGCTGTCCACCCCCTTTACACAAACACACACACACACACACACACAAACAGGACTCTGATCATCCAGATGACTGTGTGGTTGTCTGCAGGTATTATTTACAGAGAGGGATGCATCCATGCCTCCAGTAACACCTCATTAGGGAGAAAAACAAGAGGACGTGTTGTAATGACACATGCTGCAGCACCAAAAGGGGAAATTAATTCATATTATAAGTCAAGATCATTACCTTGGTTATTTGAAGAGAAAACAATTATATGAGTATTATGTTCTTCCAAAACCTGATTTATGTGACAATGTGCTGCCATAAATTATTAAAATTAGATTACAATAGAAAAATTGACACCAAAAATGGGAAACCCGTCATTATAAGGCAATAAGATAGGCAGGGACAGATTCGCTGAGGAGCAGGGGGCAAAAAAATATTACTAGATATAGACCTTAGGGTAGGAATTAGGTTAAAATAGAGTTCCATTCTGAGGCTAAAATGTAGTCTAAATATTACTATTACACATTAAATGTTACCATTAAAATTACAATGATACATTGATTAAAATGCATACTAGCATTGCATCAGCACCATTCTACATATCCTGCACAAACCCAAAACCTTCACATACATATATGGAAGTGAGTGTTTAATGGTTATTCATAAAGGGATAAATAGGTAAGAGAAGTTTAGACCTTTTACAATTTGTGATGTTGAGAAGTTTCTGTTCTGGAATTAGTCTTTTGGCTTTAAGAATACTTTGAGAAGGTTTGTGAATTAGCTTTTTAGCTTCACAGTAAACCAGCAGGCAACTGCTTCAGTAAAACAAAACTAGGCACACTGCTGTGACAGAGGTTTAAAGTAAACCAGAGGTGCAGTTAGGGAACATTTAGACTGACTGTGGTGCAAAAATTAACAATGGAAGTGCCTCATCAGGGCACAATCATTTCCTGGTTAAATTAAGATTTAAAACTGGACACTTCAGTAACTTAAAGCTCATACTTGACTTTACAGAGCTTGTGTACATTTGCATTACACAGCCATCAATCAAACCACAATTGAATTTTACGTTCTGCTCTATCGATGGAGCTGAAAAAAAATAAAACAGAAGTGATGAACAGAGAAGAAGAACTTTTATGATTTCAGTTTCTCTGACAAACATGCAGTTTGGATAATTAACAGCCGCCTGCGATCTGATTAGAGATCCCATGAGACTGCAGGTCCACAAACAGAAACAGCTCCAAAAAACACCTGATTATAAACGACGGCACAGACCTCTGGCTCTGTATCGCCTGTGCATCCATCATAATCATGGAGGGAAATGTGTCCAGAATATGAATTGAATTGACATTTATTGATGTTAAAAGGCTTCTCAGCTGTGGGCTGATGCTGGTTGCATCACAGTCAAGGTCCTGCTGTCCCTCATGTCACCTGGCCAGTGCTGTTAAAAAGCCCTGCCGACAGCATGTGGACCGCCTCTGTGTGCACAGTGACAGTGCCATCGTCAGGGGTCAGCAGCAAAGGTTGGATTGCTCAAGTGAAACTCAACTTTTTTTTTTTGCTGCAGATGTCAGTTGGGAAAGAGACAATGCGACTCGACATATGACACCTCAACCACATGAACAGTTGCTCCTTTGTTTTTCATAAAACTTAATTTAAAGAGTTGATAGTTTTCCACCTACACCACACCAGAGAACACAGCATGGCTTTCAGCCCTCTCTTCTCCACCCTCCTCTTTCTTCTTATCTCACTTTTGGCGTGATCACAGCACAGCAGCAGTGGGAGAATCATATTTGGCGCATATATTAAACCTCACATTCAAAAAAAAAAGATTTAAAAAATAAATAACACTATAAAAAGTGCTTTGCAATTTGATGAATACCTGATCTGACGTTGGTTGCAGGCTAGTTAGCAGCATGGATACAATGGTCAAAATAAAATGTAGGAACAGCGCAGAGAGTTAGTTTAGAACAATCTAATATGATTGTAATTTGTATTCCAGTGTTCAGTCTAGCTTATGTCACTTTTTCTTTAATCAATTATCAATTATCATCATAAGCAATGCTATTGTCACGCTGTTGCGAGAGTTTGAAAGTAGCAGATGGGTTAGGGTTAGGGACATGGTCAGGTACCTGACCCCCAAAGCGGGGGCCAGGAGGCGCACGGTCCTTCCCCCAGAAATCCCCACCCCATCAGAACCTGGCTGGCCGATATTGACCCTGCCAGGGTGGTGGTCTTTGGTCTGAACGCCAGCGGGGTTGACCACTTCTACCCCCGCAGCATACCATCGTCCATCCATCTCCATCAAGGTATGTCCCCATGACGAAGATGAATTAATTGTCCCTATACTTTATTTAAGAGATATAAAATATATGAATAATCTATTTATTTAAATAATATTACGAAGATATGAAAATAATATTTTTTAATCTGCTTATTCAAATGAAATAAATTAACTTGCCGGGTTTTATTTTTAAAAATACTAGATTTTGACATCTAAATTTCAGAATGCTCTGGCTTGAAAGTGGTTTGAGATAGAGACAAAGTGTAAATGAGACAAATATTGCGAATGACCTAAAGTTTATCTAGGGAGTACATTTTCCCATCTAATTTGCATATTATGACATCATATGGCGGTGGCCATATTTGATTATGTAATTTGCATGAAATACCTGATATTTTGAAAGAGAGTTGAACTTATTTCATCAGATTCACCCCCCTCCATCTATTTGTTATGTTGTCCACATATCAAATGAACAGGGAAAATATAAATTTTAAGCCAACAGTCGTAAACTAGAACTATTACTACCAAAGCTCATGTAAATAGTAGGCATTTTTTAGGATTTATTTTTTACCCACCACCACCAACCCCCTATTGGAGGACACTTTTTCTTTTACTTTTCTTTTTTCTTCTCTTCTTCATTATTATTATTATTATTATTATCATCATTATAATATGATAATAATAATAACAGTAGGCGTCTTTTAGCTGCAGAGGCCTAATCTGTGCCCATCTATCCAGATAACAGTCTGTAGTATTTGTAGAGTGTGGAACCTCTCATTGCAATGCGCACTAACACACTAACGCTGGTCCCAGCACAATTCTCTCCACCCCCGCTACTTCTACCACATCCATTAGCTCCCCTAATGATACTACGAGTTTGTGTATCATTTCCACTCCCACCTATGTTGGGCAAAGAGTCGTGTGTTTGTGCTTGTGTGTCTTCCTCGCTTTGCCCGGCAGCGCCGGTGCAAAGACGCATAGTGACTAGCACGCTCACTAATCGACGGACCGTCATCTCCCAAAGGTAGATTTTCCCCTTCAGAATCAGGGTCAGCGAATAGGAGACCCATCACTCCCCTAAGCATCAACTTTATCCTTGCCATTTTCATTTATTTCGTCTCAATAACTCCTAAATCCAGCAATACCACTTCAGCATAAATCGTGCCTTGGGGCACTATTTCCTGTTTCTCACCCAACAGTTTGGATGGGACTTCCTCGAACATTTTGCATTGAAGCATGGCGTTTTTCTGAGCTAAGATCTCAGTACGGGATGTCTGCCAACTAGTGGAGGGCAGTATGAACGACATATAACACTATTAGGAGAAAACAGCTGTTTGATTCAGTACTGTCGCAATTTTACGACTTTGGCGCTTAACCAAACAAAACAAAACTAGACAGTCCGAAACCCACAACACCTCAAAAGTTCGAAAACTTCAAAGTCCGGAGTTCAACCTATCTAGAAATAAAAGTTATTTTAAAAAACAAAAACAAAATGTATCTTCACTTTATCCAAACAGAAGAAAACAAACTAAACACTGGAAAGTCCGAAACCTACAAATTCTAGGAATTTCAAAAAATTTAAAGCATGAACTTTACAGAAATTAAAATAAAACCAAATGAAACTCAAATGTTTCTAATTGAAATCAAAAAGTGCCCAAAATGCGCTGTTTCAACCCTAAAAGGTCTTCTTCAGGCAAAGGACACAAAGAAAATAAAAGAAAATGGCTTGTAGCTGATTTTGTGGAGTTGTTTACGCTCCGAGAGTCCGAGCCAGAATGAGAAAGGGGCGTTGTCGCCCTGCCTTATAGCCCTTCCACTCCGAAATCTTCGTGTCTTCGAATTTTACAAAGTAGGGTTTTTACCCTTCTAATACAAAATGACTGTTATTAATTATAATTTAAACCTATTTCCCTAATATTTATTCATGTTTTATCCCTTTTAACCTTATGCTATACATTCATTATTTACATTTTATTATTATTTATTATAGTTCCTATTAAATCAATGTGTTTATTCATACTATGTTTAGCTCTAAATTATCCAATATGAATTTTAATGTAATCTTATTTGTTTTTCTATTGTAAAATAATTAAATTAGGGTTAAAAATGGTTAGGGTTAGGGAAGGGGAAGGTTAGGTTTAGGTTTAAGGTTAGTGGTTAGGATTAGTGGTTCAGGTAAGTGATTAGGGTTGGCATTAAAACTCCCAATACAAAG